AATAAATATATACGTATTTAAAGTTACTACCTACTTCACTTCGTATTTTTGTAGCTGTCAAAACATTCTATACAAAAATATTGGCTGTTTGAACTATGAATAATTTGTCTTTTTCGTACTTTTACTTACTTTTAAACTATTATCATTTACTTGTTTTATCACAAAAATAATGTATTTTTTTCTTTTCTTTTCCTAACTTTCTTGTCTTGTTCTTTGCTCCTAACCTATACCGCGAAAAATCGAGGCGACTATCCTATTCGATATTGATAGATGCCCTTTTATTATTTAACTAAGCTATATACTAAAGATATTATTTATTATATTTTTATTATAACTATATTTATAACTATATAATGAACCAGTATATAGTTATAATAAAAATAAAACTACAAGAATTTATTATAACTTCAAAGTTAGGCGACAGTAAATACTTGCGTCTGAAATTTTGAACCGTTTGTCGTGTTCGTCGCGGAGATAAACGCATGCACAAACCAAACGCGTCTATTCCACACGGATCCCTGCAGGAACTTTGATGATTGGTGTCTATACCCCTTATTTAAACTAATTATTCTTTGTTGCGATTTGGGGAAGTTAGGTTTTTTGAAAACGAGGCCCCTATCCCACTGCGGCATCTATCCCGGTTTTACCCTATTGCTAATGCGAGTATATTGAAGTGTCTCGCATTTTAAATCGATCTCGCACAAGTCACGCCCTGTTGTACCTACTAGCCCTACTAGACGAACTCTTTCACAAGATCTAAAATAAGTAGAAAGCGTGTCTAGGAGAATTTAAGACTTAAGCCTTTGCTTTACAAGCTGAACTGATTTCAGGACAATATGTTATCAGCAGCACACTTCATAGGCGAAGAATCCCGTATCCCAGTGCCACTGGAAGCCGGAGTGAACCACAAAGAATTTGATGAAGAAACAATACAGCGTAAACAGACCATGTTGAAAAAGAACAACCGACAGTTGTCAGACCTAACGAACGATTCCAAAATGATATCTTTCGAAGATTCAATGTATGAATGCTCGTTGAGGGATCTCATGAAGATTTTGCATTATATTTTTGATTTGTTAGTTGATAATTTAAATATAGATAATGTTGCTATAATTTATTGATACAAATATCGGACAAACAATGAAAAATAATGAAAATGAAAATTAATTCATATTAAATGAAAATGAAAATTGATACGATAGTATATTATAAAATATCGAGCCGTTCTGTGCATAGAGGTAGATAGTTATACTTTTCGACTTTTGCAATTTTCAAGACTAACATTGATTTTATTGAATATCATGGTTTTTTTTGCTACCATGATATTCATATATTTTTTAATGAAAATATTCCAATGGTTTGTTGTTACTACTGATACAAAGATCGAAGATACAAAGAAAAACTCCACCGATCCGACTGGACTGTATGACCCGAGTCAGCCGACCTTACGAATTTCTATGTGCTAGTTGCAGATTTTTGTATTTTGGTTTTAACTTTTTTTTTCTGCCGTAGCGCCACCTGTGCGAATCCTTTAATTCGAGTTATTTGAATGCGAGCCTGCATTTTAGGAAGTGGGGTGGGGGGGGGGGGGGGGGGGGCGGTTCTCGCGTCCCGCAATCTGCGGGCTTAAAATTAATATGAATAAAATAAGATCAGGCGGAGAAAGTGACAAGCGCCCGATGGCGACTGACGGGGCAACAGGCGTCGCGGACTGCCGTTAAATCGCTGGGAAATTTTTGGTATAAATGTCAATTTAATAACTATAATTTTGTGCGTTCTCTGTAGTATTTAAAAAGAAATATCTCTATAAATAATGAACAAAGTTAGATATTTTATTCTTAAATAGTTCGTTTTAGACTTTTGTTTTATCGAGTTAAGTACATCCTATGGTGTAACGAATTAGCACATTCTTTAGACAATATGCTTAAGTGTGTCGTTTTTTTTATAAGATCGTTATTTAATAATAAATACCTAAACCATTTGATCTAGCAAAACAGTTTATCCCGCTTCTCCTCCAGTTTTTCAATCAAATAAATGTTGCTCTTGAAAATGGCAAAAGTCGAAAAGTATAACTATCTACCTTTTCCGGCATGCACAAAACGACTCGATATTTTATATTAAAATTAATTTTAATTTTACATTAATTAATTTTATTAATTTGAACTTTAATTTTATATTAAATATAATTCTAATTTTATATTAATTAATTTTGATTTTAATTTGGTATGAATTTGATTAATTTTCATTTTATATGAAAATTGCCTCTGCATGACAGAAGAGGTAGGTAGTTATACTTTTCGACTTCTGCAATTTTCAAGAGTACGAAGCATTTAAAGCTTCAATATTGAATTAAGGCGTTTGTGTAAAGAGTTTATGTCCACAAGTACAAACATTTCCGGGACTACAATAACATTATGATCTAGGGGATTTGGTTCGAAAATTAGAATTAACGTTGTTTTGAAGATTATATCACCTAATTACTCAAATTATCTTGCCCAGATTCAGCACAGACTACCAATACGACTTAATACGTTCAGTGTTCACCTTTCCACCAGAACATTGTTTAATCGACGCGCCTTACCAAATCCAAAACCCACGCAAGATGTACACGGTGTTAAAACCCACGAAGGGTAGTCCTAAGAAAAGAGAAGAGAAATCTAGTAAAGCGTCTAAATCAAAAGAAAAAGAAAAAGAAGTGGAGACTCAGGAGTACATTAATTTGATGATGGTGACTGTTTTTTATTAATACTTTTAATGTTAGTTACATAACAGGTACATTTGTATACTTCGTGGTTTCCGTTGACGGATTGCTGTCACGGAAAGGGACAAAGGAAATAAGAAGAGCAGCAACGTCTCTAGGTTTGTTGCTTGGCTTAATACCATCGTCACCTTGCCTGTCCATCGTGGCGATTTTATTAAAATTAGTTTGTTTCAGTTCCAGACTTTTACTAGGTTAATAAAGTGGTGATAGTATCTAAATAGTTAGGTACACCTGTAAGTATGTGATTCCGAACCTTAAAAGATCGTTTGGAGGTCGCCTTGGACATTGAGAACCGCAATTACACTACTCAAAAAAAAATTACGAAACAACCCAATTATATTAACTATTTCAATATTTTTTTTTTAGAAAAGTATCTACTGGCTAATTTATAAATGTAAATTAAAATTGTTTTAAATTTAAAAAAATAAACTAAAAAGCGAAAGCGTTAAATGGGTGTGACGCTGTTTTTTTCTAATGTAAGTAATTGAGGGTTTATTACCATTAAGCCTTTGTTTTTCTTGTGTTAAGCAATTTATGGTTGTTTTCGTAAATTTTTGTGATTTTATGCGTCATGTCACGTCGTCATTTAGCTCGGGAAGAGATACTTACGACTGCGGGTATGTTAGAATCTGGGCGCAACCAGTGTGTTGCATCTTGCGTAATTTGCCGAACAGTGGCCTGTCAACCAATCTCAATTCCTTTGTGCATGCATAGGATTTGTTCGAGAGAACAGTATTCAATGATCTTCCTCAAAATTTAAACACAGAAGAAGAGTGTTCACATTTTCCAGAGTAGGTATGGTGTCTTATTCCATAGGCGACAATTGACAACTTCTTACTACTTAGTATCATCATACTTATAATAGTATGCCACGATGTTGTAGAGCCATCGTTAATGCCTTGGGAGGTCCGACTGACTATTAAAAAACTTATTTGTTTTTTTTAGTAATTTTCACTACTATGATATCTTTTTTAATTTTATAATTTTTATTTTGTCACAATTTTTATATTTTACAAAAAAATTGTTTTTTTCATAACAATCCATTTATTGTTTTACCTCTAAAATGAACCGCTTTTTTGATGTACAACATATAAGGTAACAAATTATTAAATAACAAATTGTTATAATTTTATAATAACATTGTACCCTAGACTTTGTAGAGCAGTGTATATTGTTTTTTGTTTTCAGCTAAAAGCCTACGATATGCAGCAGCAACAAGAGCAAGAACAACGCGACCGCGAAGAATGGAACCTCCGCAGCCATATCCTGCCACTCTCCTTTGCAGTTACTAGTGAAATATTCGATAAGTACTGGCCTCCGCCAATTCCGGAGCCAGAGCCCGAGCCCGAGATTCCGCCGACGCCCGTAAAGAAGCCGAAAGGGGGAAAGAAGAAATGAGCTAATTAAATGCGAAATGGAGATGTTTCCATCTAATTTGAGCATTAGATGGATACCTCCTAGACTGTTGACGGTCGTCACAGTCACATATATTGGTAATATAGTAGCATTCAATCAGGGAATAGTGTTGTACCATGTTCAGGGAAATAGAGCAGTAGTGCCTAATTCTTTTGAGCGCCCACCAAATCGCATTAACGTGAAGTGACGCTGAAAAGTCGTCTTTTGGTCCCACCTAATTATTATCTGTCGATCGATATTCCGATACACAACTATTTTTTGGGAGTTATCTAATAAGCAGAACCTGCAGAAGCCTTTAAAATAGGTTCCTAAACTTTTTGACCCACTTAAGCAAGTTCAAAAAACTTCAATCAAGCCCACCAACCACCACAAAAAATAATTGAAAACACGTAGGTATTGTTTCGTATTAACTTAACATAAAAAGTCCAAGTATTTGAAGTGTAGTTTATAGATGATTCAGGTTATTTTTTTCAAATGCCACACCCCTGGACAGCTTCAACACCTAGCAATGGCTTCCGAGCCCTTCCCTAGGATTTTTCAGCGCCCACTGGGGGGTAGGGACCACTTTGGGAAACTATTCCCTGAAATTACCAAGCGCAGAACTCGATACTTGCTAAATCTAAAAATGACATCGCCATTATGCTTAAGAGAAGGTGGCTGGACGAAGTTTGAAGACCAGCTAAGTGTGGTACCTACTATTAATTTGACGTTCTCAATGTGGCTATTATAGTATTTTTACATCAAGTTTGATTACTCAATGACTTGGGTTTGTTAAATAAAAACAATTCTTTATGAGTGAATACATTGAGTTTAATATTTATATCCTGTGTAATAATATCACTTCACTATTATCAATGTACAAGAATAATCATCTCCTCCTCTTATAAATACATTATTTAAAATAGATATTGTTCAAGGTATTCTGCAAAATATTTACAAATTTTAAACATTGACAAGTTACTATTGGGCCCAGGCCCATTGAGGGGCGACATACAGAGGATTTTTACGTGATAATACCTCAATGTTATGGCATTATAGTTGAAATTTTAATTACAGTAGTTGTAGCTATGAGAAGCTGCCTTGCTATGTCGTCCTGTCAATGGGCGCCAGGCCTTAAACTCTACGCTATGCTTACAAGCACTAGTACTGACGTTTGACATCAATATTGTAGTGTCACTAGAAGAAATAAAAAAAACGCAATTTGGGGAGCGTTAAAACAAGACTGGCTAGACATTTTTATTTGTTTGTCCAAAAATAGAACACATCGCACTGCTATTACAATAGTGTTGTAACTCAAAATAAGTGAAATTCAAGATTATACTATTTCTGGACGTGAAATTTGATTCTCTACACGTCAATAAAACCGTCGTTAGAATATTGTTAGATACGATTAACAGATAGCGCCGTGAGTCACAGTTGTTGGTTTACTAACGTTTGTAACACCTCCTCCAACATTACGTCACTTTTAATTATGATCGGAATTCATAGATTTAGTATATAGGTTCGGAATTCGACGAGTGAGTTTTTAACAAATTTTAACATATACATAGATTTTAATAGATTCTTTCACGGGAAGTGAGTGAGCTGTTTTTCAACGATTCTGAAAAAAAACACTTTTTGAGTACACTATTGTAATAATAGTGTGATATACGTTTTTAAACACTACAGTCTAAGGGCCATATTCCAGAATTCTACTCAATGCTCAAGTCAAGGACTTGAGTACGATTTCTAGTGCTTGAAATTATACTCAAGTCCTGACTTGAGCATTGAATAGAGTTCTGGAATACGACCCTAAACCTTTTTTGTTGTGGCATTTTTTTTTGAGTTGAACACTCGTAATATTCTGTTTAATTTGGAGCTCACATGACAAGCTCGTATGATAGAAAACAAAGTGGATTTTATATCCAGGACATGTCTATAAGATTGTAAACATGCAAACATTAATTAATCATTGCGATATAAACATTATTTAATATACATCTATAATTGGATACAACTATTTACATTTTTATATCTAAAAAAACTTATTAACTAAGAGACCTTGACACATATTTGGTTAAATCGATCCCCTTTAACACGAATGGACAAAATTTACGAAACGAAAAAAAATATTTACATATTCCATTTCAGATTTTTTTAAATTCTATGTTGTGTAATTTTTTTTTTAAATTTTATCTTTTCCGTACATTCGTGTTGTAAGGGAAATTTAGCCGACCATATTTATTAAGTTTCAATATTATTTAAAAATATTCAAAGTCATGTTCACATATAGTCATACAAATTGTTTGTAATATGTTAAGGATATTTTATATGTAGAGTAATAATTTTCGTTATGATATTACGCCATGAATAGTTACAACTATTTTCCATGGGCAGTACTTAAATAATACCGCACACAAAAATATCAGTGACTGTTCAATTGTAGAAATCATTGAATTGAACTTTGTCAGTACGTTGTTGATATTTCTCTGGCGGCAACTGCAAAGAAAGCACTTGGAAATCGCAATGTGAAGCCCGTAATTGGTTTTTTGAGATCCATATAGCGAAACGGGGTACCCTGTACTATGTTATTAGTGAAAGGATTAAGGAGCGGCAATTTGAAATAAGAACATGTTTCAACTTTTCACGTAGGCATACCCACTATTTCTTTGTCATACATTTTGTAAACTGGACCATTTTCTACCAACATAAAGCGGAGAAGAACTGTGTTAGGGCGCCTTGAAACTAAACGCTTATACAAGCGCTACATTGGCACCACAGTGCTAATTCTAAGGTCGGTGGACATTTAAATTTATACATCTACCGACTAAAGCACATAAGTCAAATTCATTTGCTGCTTCATTAATTTGTAACTTAAAGAGTCAATTTTTTTTCCAAATTCAATTTTTTCCCGTATCAATACGGTTCATTTTACTTATATTTTACCACAGACAATAATTATTTCGCTATATCAACGAAGCGAACATTTCTTCCCTATATTCCCACAATAATACAGACTTAGTAGTAATACTGGTACCTATGGGTAACAGGAAAAGTGGTCGTCTGTTAGGTCTTAAATTTTGATCAATATGGTCGGCTTTTATATTAATATTATGGGCAGTACTTTGTCATAAGACGATTGATCAATGAGCATTGTATTGCAAACATTTTACTTACATAGCTTTATTTATTTGAAATTATATACAGTTAACGGCACATTCAAATTTCATAGATATAGTCAATATGCTAAAAATGCCCAGATATCACTCTATACGACTACGCAGAAGCCGAACAGAGGATAATACTGCTTATAAAGGAAATCAAAACATGTTACATATCACTGCATTAACTCTATATACAGTTTAAAATACAAAATAATATGGTTCAAATTTGATCCGAATGCCCAGTTACATTTCATTGTTGAGATTAAAAAGGCTCAAATGTTCTACTATCAACAATAACATTTATAATGGTATAGCTCCTCATTGGAATTAAAAAACAATATTGTAACATTTTCGGTTGCAACCAGTGACTGAAAAAGTTGGTTTTAGCGAAACCTGTAATTCACAGGTTAAGCTAAAAAGTTTAGTTTTTAGAAATCGACCTTGTCTTTAATTGTCAGCGTTTAAAATTAAAATTAAAGTAAACATTATTTATGTATAAGTGTATTAATTAACTACATAACAAAATTAATTCATAATAAGGTTATGCCACGTTATTTCGGCATGTTTCTATATTGGATTCATAATAAAAAGCGGGTTATGTAGAGAATGACATTCTTGACGCATGCGTTGAACGAAAGAGGCACCTTTCGGCACATGTAAAGTTTAACATACATGCATATAAGATACAATGTAATGATTAAACATACACATTACTCATAAAAAAACACGCTGCAAATTGTATCTGCACGCATTTTGAATTGAATTTTGCATGCGCTAAGTTGTTTTACATGAACACAGTGGCTATCGGCTTACATAGAAGACCTAAGTTAAGTCTAAATCAACTACATTTTACAAGTTGCTAACAACTGGCACAAAACGCGTTATTATCTATAAATGTTTTATACAATTTAGGATGAGTTAAAAGAAAAAAGTTTAGTTGCCTTAAAAAAGTAAATTGACAACGCGAAAATATCACAAAATAATGAAGGTTTAGTTTTTTTAATAGATAAATTGAGCAAGGAATAAAATGTTAGTAGACATTAATTATTCTTATATCACAAATTTTTACCAAATCTTCGCATTTTCCCAAAATGTTTACGAAAAGGTAACCCAAGGGTTTTGCTAATTGCCAAAGATGCGCTGTCGTCACTAGTTTCCAAAAACCAAATAACAATCTACTCCACCATATATGCTAACAAGTATTGTGAGAAGTAATGATGTGGTGTGCAAAAGCACCTTCCTGATTAATTGTCAAGTCTTGAACTGTGTCGAAAAATTATGATAAGAGGAACAAAAAGACAAACACGCAGTTTAATTACGACAAAAATATCGGAGACGAGTGGGGCGAATATATGTCGTTAGTACGAGTGTGGATTGAAAAGTTCGAGGCCTCACATAGAAGTACTTAATGTATTTTTTTTTCCATACTACTCTCATTTAATTCATACATTAATAGGTTGTCACAATGCAACTTTTTATTGGTGTAGTACTTGGTACTTGGTGTATTAGTATTAGTGATTTTGAAATTAGAGCGAATTTAGTGACACCAAGTGCAGCGATATAAAACAATGAAGAAAATTTAACAACGTGCTGTTATCAAATACTTGATTAAAAAGAGATTAATACCGAAAAAGATCAACAATGATACGGAAACATCATTAGAAGAGTCTGTTCCAACGTATACGACTATAAAAAAATGAGTTGCAGAATTCAAACGTGGACGAGACCATCGAAGAAGACTCTACGTCTAACCGGTCCACGGCGTCTATGACAGAGAAAAACCTCGGAAAAGTGTGTGATCTCGTTATGGAAGTCCGAAGATTGACCATCAAGGAGATTGCAGACAGTATCTGGTATGAGCAGACGTAAACCCAATCATCTATTGCGTCCAGCGGTACCGACGACGTATACGTATAGCATACGTGTCACGACTTAATTACTCCACAAAGTCTGCGGATATTGTGGAGTACGTACGGGTGAAATCCAAAGCTGCCCTGAGAGTCGAGCAGTTGGAGTCCCGCCACAAGGTGAATTTTAATTCATTTGTTGTAAGAGTACCAACTCAACAACTGTCAACCTTCATGAAGGAGGACTTTTGGCCGAAGGGTGTCATGTTCCGGCGTTTCCGAGGACGGCTATCGGACACCCACGTTGCGTCACACGTCGCGGTCCATACGTGTAAATAAATAAATATTTATCATATTATTATGTGTGTCAGTCTATAAGGTATGTGTTTTATGGGTCTTTTGTAACTTGTAAAAAATAAAAATAAATAAAGCAAAACAAAATAAAACTATTATTGTCAACGAACTTGGATTTCACTAGGTTTCTGCTAGGTGCCTCCCCGGTTTGTTTTCAGTGAACCAAGGGCGTATTCGGCTCGCAATTTCTCGCGACTGTTTGGAGATGTTTGAGGCTGAAGCGCAATAATTATTAAAAAAAAATTGTGACAATGGATGAAAGTTGGGTATACCAATACACCAGAGCTCAAACAACAGTCGAAACTGTCGGTAAAACGTGGTGAACCGACTCCAGAGAAAGCGAAAGCAGTTTTGTCGACTGGCAAGGTGATGGCGTCAGTTTTTTGGGATGCCAAGGATGTCATCACGGTGGACTACCTTCTGAAGGTCGAAATCATTAACGAAGCATACTATTACGGCCTGTTGCGTAGTTTGCGCGAAGAAATTAAAGAAAACGCTCAGAATTACTCAGGACAAAAGTGTTGTTTCATCAGGATTATGCTCGCGGTCATACTTCTGTCGAATCCATTGTTAAAATTTCTTATTGTGGTTTCGAATTACTGCCCCACCCAGCCAGAAATTTCATTGACTGAAGATGTTGAAGCAGCATTAAATGGGTATTTTTAAGACCTTGAAGAATCTTTTTTTTAAACTGATGTAGAATCTTTGGAAAAAAAGTCATAGAGCTAGATGGAGAACACGTCGAAAAATAAAATTGTTTTTGTGAGCATTTAACTTTATTTTCTTGGTTAGGCCGAACTTTTCAATCCACACTCGTATCTCTGCCATAGTAAGGCAAAAGAAGCTGATTCTCGAGTCAGTTCGAAGGAATGTTTCTTTGGGTTTGTTCGATCTTTATATCAACGAACTAGTGGAGTATTTCACAAAAAAAACATGATTATCATGGGAGTAAAAATATGATATTCAATAAAATAAATACTATAATACCATGTTTAATTTGGAATTTCTCGACGTGATAGCGTTACTCATTTTCTGCTAATATCACTGGTAAGTAGGGATCGCAATAGGTAGAGTTTTTTTACCTAAACTTCGAGGAACATAGACAGAAAATGGAGACTGCCTTACGACGATATTTTTTAGGTATTAGGGACCTTTTCGAGATTCGGGAAATCACTTACGAACATTAAAATTGACGTAATCGGGGACAAGCATGTACAGTTTATTTAACTTTGCGACGCACAGTGGGTCGGATCCGCGATATTTCGGACATTAGATTTTTTTTCACGATACCTCTCTAAAAAAAATGTCAATCGAGAGATCGTATTGTCCTAATATAATAATAAAAAAACTACCTATTCCGATCCCTGCTGATAAGTTAGTTGAACTGTACGGTTTTTTTGCAACTATGTAGAACAGTCTAATATTGTGAATAATTGCTGGTTTTTGTTATGATTATTAAACAAAGATCAAATATACAGAAAATGTTTTTTTCGACCCGATGGGACTCGAACCCATGACCACGCTGTACCGTAGCGCTGCTCTAACCAACTGAGCTACGGGTCAAGTTATCAAGTTGTCGAAACTCTCGTGTGTTTTTATTAAAGATCTTCGTAATGGAATTTTCAGCATTCTGCGCCGCTAGTGACATCTAGAGAGAGATTTTAGAAGCTTCTTCACTATAAAAATGTATTCTGTGTGTTCAATCTTTCTATTACTAAGCATAACAAAACTAGTGAACTTATTTTCACAAAAAAATCTCATTAATACATATCACAAAGTTCTTCAAAAATCATCACACTTATTCAACGAAGGAACAATTTAAACCGGTCAGAAAAAGCTTATCTCCATGCAATAAGAGCGACAATTGCCCGTGACGCTTCCGCACGAACCAACGACAGAGAAAGCACGTCTTAATGCGACATGTTTAATGCGACTCCGTATCAATAAGGTGTGACGTCACAAGTTTAGTAAACGACCCTAAGGAAATGGTTTCATAACGCGAATTGTTTACAACTTTGTAGATGATTATCAGTTAATCCTGAAGATGACTTGTACGATTTATTTTTACAATGGCTAATTACATGCAGCGGCACGCAATACTTTTTCTATAACAAAGATAATAACGGAAGAAACTTATATAAACATTATAATATATATGTTGAATTGTAGTCATTATGTACAATTAATAACATCCGGTATAGACAACGAATGTTGAGAATTTAAATTTAGAAAATGAAAAACCACAACAATATGTTGCTTTTTTGTCGTTCTTCCATTCCATTCGGATAACAATTTTTACATCGCCTCTTTAACCTTCTTTTTCCATTAAATTGAGTTTAATTTTCGCACATATTAAGAAAAAATACGGACAATGGCATTTTTATGGCGTGCATGATTGCCGTTGCGCGTAATCCATATCGGCAACATGTAACCTACACAATTCGTGAGCATTTGTCATTTTGAAGTTAAAGGTTTTAGTAATTTGGATATTGAAACTAATATTATCACTCGAAGTCGACGCGTTACCACCTTAAGTGTGTTTGAGCACTGCATCCGATTTATATTTGTTCCGAATTCAGACTATACAAATAAATCTAGAAAACTCTGACCCACTTCGGTTGTCGCTTGTGTGCTAAATGCGAATTTTGAATAAACTTGAATTCGAAACCGAGAAAACATGAATAACGCGTGTACACCTATATGATCCCTGTGACATTTGGTGGGACGTAGTGCGCAACGCTCTGACAGTTGTCAATGTCCTCATACTACAGTGTATTGTATGTATTATATTGTATGGGGGCTGTTCCATTTGGTGGTGTGGGAAAAACAGCAAAGCATCTAATTACAAAACAAACGGAATCATATTTCTTTTGTAATTAAATATGTATTTTTGCAATTTTCGTCCATTATAGCACAGCTAAAGTTAAACTGGTCGACAACCGTCAATTGTTTCGAATTCGGGCTGGCCAATCTGAGCGCAGTTGTCACAGTAATGATTTGGCAGAACAGTTTTCAAACAAATTAAATGACATTTCGTCTCTATTTCTGATTATATACTCAATGATTGAACGAAAGTACGTAAAGTGTGTGAGTTTGAAAACGCACGTTAATTTTTTGTCATCGGAACCTCTTCATCCAGTGGCCACAGTACAAACCGTTAGACCACCGAGGTCGTCTCACGATATGAAAGTGTTCTTGTATCCAGTGCCAAAAACTAATAAAAAGTAAAAAAATATATCCATGTGCTTATGGGGTTTGAAATTTCGTTCTGAGTAATGTATTACCAAATGAAATTAGAAAAATAACACTTCTGGTGACTTTAGATTTGTACTTCCGGCAGTTTGGCACCAAATATCAAGTATTTAAACGAGATCTCATTTTTAAAATGTTACTACTATACCAGGCGACATTTTCGCTTGTACGATTACTACACTTATGACATCACAATATAGTGACAAGCAGGCCGGAGGTTTCGTGCTAAATTGAATGGAGGCGAATTAACTAAAGCATAATAAAAATTCATGGGACTTAATACTACGATACGAACATTTCAATACGATTTAAAAATAAAGAGGAAAATTGCAGTCTGCAATAGCCAATTGGTCGGCTTTATTATTGACATAATTATAAACCTTGTGCGAACTGCACAGAATTAATTTGCCATTCGTTTGGAGATTCATATACTCGTCATCAATTATAATATACATTTGACGTGTTTTTATTTTTTAATTAACTTACTACGTACTATCTCAAAGTTATACTGATACATCAATTATTCAAAACCTACTATAGATTAACTGCTACAGACACAGTCATTCTATGGTTCTAGGGGCGAAGGGTAACGGTCTCTCGATTTTTTTATGCCTCCACACTACTCAAAATTATTATCACTGAGATTACAAATATCAAATCCTTTCGACCAATCATTACACGGCCATAGTATAAATAAGACAAAAAGGGCAACTCCCGCCTGTTCGTTGTATCAATGCATACACGTCCCTAGGAGCGTAGGGTTGTCACATTGTTATTTTATATGACGCGACATGTTTTTTTTTATAAATTATAAGTGCACATTTGACCTCCATCTCACCTGATGGAAAATAACAATGAGGTCGACGTTGGAGCACACACACCTAAATAATGCCTATTCACTCTCGCCTTGAAAAGGCCCAAGTTATAACGTTCAGGGAACAAGTCTGCAGACAAGGAATTCCACTCCATAGCCGATCGCCATATAAATGTGGAAGCATAACGCTTCGTGCGAGTCTTTGGAATGAAAGACGCCGCGAGATTATGTGAATGAGTGCGTCCGTACAAAGCTCGGGCGTGCACACATACAAGACGCACTGCTACGTTTGTGTGAACTTAAGGTAACATTCCGATGTTGGCGACCGCGACCGGCGACTGTGACCGGCGACCGCGACCCTATGTTGTTTAATATGAATTCATAGCAAGCGCTGACCAACGCAAACGACTGAGATTCCGTGACGTTACTGTTTCTGTAGCAGCGCCGCCGCGCGTCACTTAACGTCCCTGTAGGGTTAATACCGCACATTAACCATGTCACCGCAACAACATTTTTATGTTTAGTTATAATTTCTACACATTTGCAAATCAAGGCATTGTCATAAGCAAGCGGGTGTTTCATTTTGTAATAAAGTTAACGAAATAAATACCATTTTTAAGATCAACAAGGTTTCTTTATTTATCAATATCATTATCAAGATAGTTTGTGTAGCAAGATCAAGACGCGAACAGTCCCGTTTGTTAACGACGAACTCATAGTAGATTGCATTACACCCTATATGATTCGAGATATATAGGATAAAATATGGGAAGAAATTGGCAAACTGAGTGTATCGTAGTATTCGTCTTCCTTATATAACTGCTATATAACTCCTTTTCTGGTTGTGGTTAATAGTTCGACATAATTGTATTAAGCACCAGAATACAACCGATCGTATTAAAAACTGCAGGAAGCCAACTTCGGAGTTCTACCTTAACCCTTCTTGTCTTATTAGACTATGACACTGATTTTTGCGTGGTTTAAAGAGGAACGCTTACAATTGGTCGAACGCGTTTCGCTCTCACACACCACAGGTAATATAAAGATTGTGATTGATCGAAAGACCCCAAAGCCCCGCAGCACGTGTCAAGACCACGTTTATGTCACCCAATCTACCGTTACATTATTTTATATCCATAAAAAGTTTGGAAGTGTTAATGAAATGCAACAATAAATACATGTTTAAATGGCACAATTATATATGTAGTGCGGGCGCGGCCCCATGCGGGTGCGGACCCGACGACGAGGAGTCTGGACCCATTGGATAACCTTGAACTCTTGAGGAATACCCTTGTGATTGAGATACCTGAGGATCCAATACGAAGGGTGACCGTTCCAAGTGACTCTGAGGTTGAAACAGGGGTGGTCCTGGAGGTCTCGGTCCGTGTGTCGGGGCGGGGGGCGCGTGCTACAGAAGCGCGCGCCGGCACTCGTCGCGGTACGCGCCCGCGGTTCCCCTGTTTCATGTTTGCCATCTGCTCGAAGACAAATATTTATAAATGTACCAGAGTTGCTGTTTTATCGAGGATAGGATTCTTCCGGATGAAGTTGTGACGCGATGAAAATAAAAAGATGCAATGTACATGTCTATCGTTCTTGTTCTAATGTTTTTAAATAAATCGACAGCTACATAAGTCTTATATCGTCGCCTTACTATCTCAAACTCGTATCTTAAAGCACAAAGGTACTGAAGTGCAAAACATGGATTGTATATACAAATTTTGCAGACACGTTCAACTGTGTTCTAGTGTGCAACTGCCTCCGTGGCCGACCGGTTACCATGCCGGACTGCCACGCAGAGGTCCCAGGTTCGATTCCCGGGCCGGGAGAAATAGTTGTATGGCCTACAATTATTTCTCTCATGAGTTTGGGTGTAATTTGTGGTTGTCTATGTGTGTGTCCATGGCACCCGCGACACAGGGTTTCCCTAGTGCGGGACTATGTTGAGTGTGTGCGTTATTTATTATTTATTTATTTATTTATTTACTTTACGTTTCCTTCATATTCACACACTGGCATTTACCTATTCTTAAAGTAATGCATCCAAAATAACAGCCTTGATAAGAAATTTAAAATAAATAGAAAGTTTTGCACTCTCCTGAATAATCATCTTTATAAGATACGACTTTGAGAAAGTAAGGCATCGATATGCTAGCGACACACACGGTAAGGAAAGGAACTTCCGAGGAGATCAGCGCCACCTGTCCTGCGTATTAGAACTAGGTAGTGGGTAAGTTATACGCAGTGGGAAACGAGTGAGAAAATTGAACTAGTTAGGCTACGCAACCGATAGATGGCGCCGTCTTCGTATAACATAAACGACCTGTCCATTGTTGGACATACACCAATTACCTGGTCTCAAACGTGGACATTCTAAGACTAGAACCAATTTAGAACATGCCAAAAAATAAATAATTTTCCAGATTGGTCCTATTGGAAATCAAACCCGAGAACTTATGAAGTGCCCAACGAACCGTTGGGCTACAGAACTCGTCGAAGTTGCAACTTATTAGTAAGGCATAGTCCTCTGAGAAGAATGAATAATATACTCAAAAAGGAGTAGTGTAAAAATAAATAAATACCTGAACCTTTTGTAAAGTTTTTGTCACTGTAGTTTTAAACGTAATCGTCATCATAAGTTCTAATTTTGAATATCACTAGAATAGTACATCACAATAGAAGGTAATACAAGGTGTCCCTTAAAGAAATTTGTGACTTTGTAAAGACGACTGTCAAGAACAGCTACTTTATTTTTAACCAACTTCAAAAAAATGTGGAGGTTCTCAATTTGAATGTATTTTTTGTGTGTCTGTTATACGCGAATACTTCGGTATTTGTGAACCGTTTTAATTATTATTTTTTTGGTACAGTATTAATTGGTCACATTCGAATTTGAAGAAAATATTTCACCTCTAAAAATGGTCAACTAGGGGATGAATCTTGTTTCGCGCACTTTCCAGTAACCGATTGTTAACTTTCCAGATTCAGTTTATATGTACATATAGTAAAGTTTGAAGTCGGTTTCTTTTATTTATTTCGCGTATTAAGGTCATGTTTACCACTATTTTTCATAAAATTACTACTTTTCTTAACATAAATTAAATTTTCATGATCGTGCTGTGACGCTAGAATGAAAATGTATTTTCTTATAAAACCTTTTCTTAAAGAAACGACAAGATCAATGAAAGCTCACACAAAAATGTTGAATGAAACGTGGACGTGGATTACTAAGAGTCTATATACTACCTCAAAAAGCTTTGGTTGGTTCCGCGTAACAGTGAAATTGTTGAATCAATCACTTTGGAAAAATATATAGCAAATTTGAGGATATACCACATTGACTTACAATTATATGGACGTCGGGTCCGCGCTAAAAAGTGTCCGCACTTTTAAGGCGCTAAAATCGTATACAGAGCGCGACACTCCGCTTTAGTCTTCATTTGTTCTACTGACAGCGCGATACTGCGATGACATTACAATTTAAATTTCGAATAGGTTGACTTGGGACATTTTTTTCGTGGTTTTTGTATTAGACCCGTCGTCCATTTATTTGTAAGTCAATGATATACCATGACTACTATACGGTGTGAAAACACGAATCCTAAAAATTTTCATATTAGGAAAAAAAAAACACAAACTTACCTCGAAATTTTGCAAGAAAACCGCTGTATTCAATAGCTACTTTTCAAATAGCAATGATTTTTTTTATATCAACTGAACTAAATAGAACACGTATACTATACGACATACATTTTTCATTCTTTTTTTAAGCACAAAAAAATTTTTATTCGCGCTGAGGTAGTATCGACTCATGAGGTTGATGTAATGTAGTCACCTGGACTTCTGAAGCTCGATCTGCCCCTCCAGAGTCTTAGCCAGGTAAATCACAAAGAGCTGCGACAGCGCCACTCCGAGAGCAATGCTGGCAATTGTGTATAAGTTACGCTCTGCCCAAGAGCGCACGATTTCTATGCAACCGCTCGTCCAGACGCGTTTGCTTGCTTCTGCTACCTGCAATTGTTTAAAATAATTAATGTAATAAATAAATAAATAAAATAATACAATTGACAACAGCAACTTGCTTTCACATAATTTTATGACTGAAATAGAATCTACATAAAAAATGTCGTTTTTTGTAATTTTATATAATGCTGTTTTTCTATTTTAATCCAATAATTTAAAACAGTTCATTACGAAAAAGCTTAAGCGGCAGTGGTCGGTCTGGCGTCACGACTGGTGACAAGAAAAATCGATACTAAACTTATTTGAATTTGTGTGTTTTCAATTATTATATACAATATATAATTTAATTATCTAATAATTTAGATTAGGAAATACTGTTTATGGAAAACTAGTTACGAGAGATATTCTTGTATTTAATAATATTTTATCTACACACACATCATAAACACTATGATGTGTTAAAAAACCGCAAATTACGATCAGCATAAAGATAAACTGTTTTGTTAGAACAAATTTCTTAAATGTGAAAATGTTATTATTCAAATTTCGAACATCTCTGAAAAACATAACAATTTAATTAGACCTCAATTCTAACATCAGTCGAGATGAAGTTTTATTCGAAATGAAATATCAATGGCAAAATTTCACACGTTACTTCTTAGAGGATGGAAAAAAAATAAAACTTTCTTTTTTTAGCTGCCCTAACTACGGAATGAATACCTAAACAAAAATTGAACGAACAAATGGCGGATTTCTTTAGTGTCATACCATAATCTATCGAAATGTCACTATCGACATGCAAACATTTAATTAAAGTAGATCAATATTCCATTTGGGAATACTTTAGGTTATATGGGAATATCCGAGAATGTCACATGCAATTTTAATTTATTGTTTTGCGTTTACAAATACTCAAATATTACGAAAAGTGAATTTGCACAGAAAAAAATAATATTTTGTAATTTGAGAGTATATAAAAAAGAGAAAACTTTGAAATATAAATCCTATACATTTCCAACCCGCAAGATTCATATTTTCATAGAGAAATTTTTAAACAGATTCCAAATAGTGTAAGCTTTTTTGTATTTATGCATTGGTATAGAATTAATATCAGTGACGGATTTAAGTGAATCTTTAATACTTCTATTTAATTTTGGAAATAAATGAAAGTAGTAATATTATCAATAATAATATTATTATCATACGTTTATTTGATTAAAACATGGTATAACAGATGTAACAAGAGACAATGTTAGTATAAACATGTTTCGCATATATTAAATAGCGAGCAAATTTCTGATTATACTCAATTTGTATATGATGACAATGATTATAGTCAATTGACTACTATTGGCCGAGCGCCTTTGATTTGTGCAGAAAAATCGACACTTCTCCGAAGTGAGACAAGTAGTCACGAGCATTTGCGAGTTGTGACAAGACACGTCAAACGAGTTCTATATACGTTAGCGCTCGCCTTCACTCGGTCAGCTAGGCGAGTGACACTGAACGATGGCAAGGCAAGGTAAATAGGCAGTCTATACGTTGGTATTGGCCTTCACCCGGCAACGTTAGATGAACATGGTCTTTCTATTGCTGGCTTCATAAAATAAGAGTTTTTAGTAGTTAGAGTTGTCAGTGGGAAAAAATCGGAAACGAGTGGATAATTTTGTTTTCAGGAACTGAGAATGCCTAGTAAATGAGTCTTGTTTAATCTAAATTAAATATAAAATTATTTACCAATAAACCTAATGATGGAATTGCATTATCATGTAATCTAGTTACATTCAAAGTTATATTAAAATTTGACTTTTCAAAATGAAGCGAATAAAATAAATGAAGATGGTCTTTGATTCAATGTTTATATTTGGCACTATTATACGGCGGTATGATTTCCAACCATTCTTTTTTCTTTTTTGATTTGTAGGTAAACTTGAAATAGTAAAAATAATAATAATAATAATAAAATAATAAAAACCTCGTAGTGAATTATTTTAATAACAGAATATCCATAATATGTACGTTTCCAAGAGAACACTATGTCAAAATAATCGTTGACAACAATCATCAAAATATACAAATAAACAGGCAATCTGAAGAAACCAAAGCAAAATTTGGCAAGATTTATGAATAAACTACTTAAATATGTTACATGAAATACTTGGGCTTTTGTGTGATTTATAGACAGAAAAATAAAACGTGCTTGTACAATGTTACATTCGGTCGATCTTCGCTTTTTCAAATGCCACATCCCGTAATGCTGCAGAGACGAATTTTTATTAATACTTAATTGTTCTCACTGTCAATATTTTTGTCCATTTTATTACAATACATGCGAATAATTAAATAAAACTTGGAAAAACATTTGTTTTGACATTTGATATACTTCCCTCTGACAACCGTATCATGCATGTACTGCGAAATGGACACGGTTAGCATTTAAGATGACGTTACGTATTTTCGATTCCCGTGTTCGACACAGACCAATGTAATGCTATCTCTTTTGGCTTAAGACGGCACGCAAGAGTTAAACAAAGACAATAACATGTTTATGTTTTCAAAGTCAAAATGCATCATATAGATATAAGGTCTGATTTATATATGTCAACATAACATGTCCTTTAGTTTCCATAGTCTAAGCGTTACTTGATATTGAACGATGTGACAGTTGGGGTCGACTCTAGTTTGTCTATGAATTAAATAAAAACTACGGTTGTGTGACAAGCGTGAGAAAAGTTTTTATTTGCCGCCATTTCGCCAGTCGTAACATGCGGTTCCTGAACACATCATAGAGAGCTTATAATATGTGTATAGATAAAGCAGTGTATGTAACTGCACATAATTAGGCATTAAAACACTCGTGTGATGTTTTTATGTAACTCGCCTGTCGGCTCGTTTCATAAACCCTCAATCGTGTTTTAATGCCTTTCATTATGCAACACTCGCATAAACTACTATAACTATAACTTGGAACAGTGAATAAAAAATCTGTAAATAGCACGCACCCAAGGCCATTAAAGTAAAAAAAATTACTTTAATTAATTCATCAAACATAATAACAGTTTTTATTCAGGAAGTACGCCATACAGATAACAACTTCCTGGGTGGGCCTTTCAAAACTCAATTTTATCTTTATTTTCTTTCTCGACAACTGCTAGCTAAAAAAACATAAAAATATGATGACCAAGCATGCGTCTATAAGGTGAAGTTTTATAACAGGTTTGTAGGAAAAAATGTGCTATCGATCTATCAGATTTTGAACCTGCATCTGTATGCCAAACTAGGGCCACGGCCCTACCTACCTAACTAGCGGACCTTACGATTTCTTTTCTGTGTGCTTGTAGCAAATCTATGTGTTTGGTTTTTAAAAGTTCCGCTAGTTCGTTCCGTAGCGTCCCTATCTACCGACCCGAGAGATAGGGTTTTTCGGAGAGACTACGGGCTCGACGGCAAGACCAGGGTACAGCGAGCGTCCAGGCCAAGCCCTCCGCCAGTGATACGCCTTTGCCGTCTCTGGCGGACCCGGACTTGGGTATGGACTCGCTGGGATTTGTGGTTAGTTGCAGAGTACGGGGTGTCTGTCGCGTGAGCAGCTAGTGCGTCTTACTAGCGGTCTATTTGAGGGCCTGAATCGAGGAGACGTGCGGATCACGTGAGTTGCCCTTTAAGTTGGAAGCTATGTCCGGACATTGTCGCAGTACACTGCGACTCGCATCTCCGGCACTAGCCCGGAGAGCTAGTAGAGGATAAGCTAGATATCCTCCGGTCCCTCCCGCCGCTTAGGTTATTGGGAACTGGAGAGACGTCGTTTTTCGGCGTCGGGAAGTGAGCGTGTCTTACAGCACCGCCACCAATGACGATATTTAGTAGCGGACCCAGAGTCGCCGGCTTAGCAGTGGCAACCGCTAGGTGTGCAATGCGCAACAGGAAGTGATCGTGCCTACAGCTCCAGTACCTATCCAGAAAATTGGGAGGGTACTGTACGTGCACCCGGAGCGGCTCACTCGAGGCACCGGTTTTAGCCTCTCGAAGAACCGGATGAAGTCAAGTGACAACCCTGTACTCTGGCTGATCTGGGGTTAGAACTTGAACTTATAAAGTTCCTGTGCGCGCACAGGTTATAGTGCCCTTCTCGTATCAAGGGCGGGGCTCTATAATCAAAACCAACGTAGAAAGATATGGAGTTCGTTCCGTAGCTTAGTTGGTATAGCGTCTGGCACGGTTTACTGGAAGACATTGGTTCGAATCCACACAGATCGAAAGAATTATTTCTCAGTGTTCGATCTTTAACTAAAATAAACTAGTGGAGTAAAAATTTTATCTTCTTTCACAATCTATCGATAACACTATCGACAGCAACTACATAACTATTGGAGATTTTATGAAACTCTGACCCTGTATGAACCCTGCAAATGTAATTTTATTCTGTCACTGTCTTAAAAAAAAACAGGCTATAAATTTTATGATTAGTCATCAACAGAACAAAACTTCAATCTATACGCTTTTGTTCGAAAATCGCCCCCAGTGCTGCCGTCTGTACTTACCGGGTAGTTCTGTACGCCGTAGCCACACATTATATTGACTAGCCCTGATGTAATGTCAGTGGCATTGATGCAGCATGAGAAAGGCACACCGCAGCGTTCCACTGACGGTGACGAGCAATTGAAGTACTCGTTTTTGGACCAATCCATGTATCCATCTGAGGTTAGACCGCAACAGTGGAACTGAAATTGAATAAACAAAAGTAGTAATAAAATCATTCTAGAACAGGGTTTCTTAATCTGTGGTCCATGGACCCGTAAGGGGTCCGTGTAAAAAATATTACTAGCCCACCCGCGGTCCGTGACGAGCCTACCTAACGTATTACATTAATATAAATATTGGTATACAATATGTTGTGAATAAATAGGTACAATCCACGTGACTTTTTGAATTTTCGCGCCATAGGACGCCTTTCCATTTATAGGTGCGAGCGAAACGCGCATCATTGCAACCCGCTAGCTTTTCTTATTTTATTTATTATTTATAGTTAAAAATTTTGTAAAAAAGAACACTTATTAATCTAAATCTGACGGCACGACAAAAACCTGCATAGTATTTCCGTGCACCGCAGGAAGTTCTTCATCTTTTCAAAAAGGGTCCGCGGGCTCTTTGAAATCTTGAGAGGGGTCCATGACTAGACAAAAGTTAAGAAACCCTGTTCAAGAAACCGTTCTAACTTGAAAGTCTGCCTTAATGTTAAAGACGATTGAAACTCTTACGTGTGTTTTAAGTTCTAAAGTACACGAATGTGAGTAGACTGGCTTTCATATTAGACAGAGAAATATAGTACTGAAACCTACCAAAATATCGCACATATGAGTAAACAACCATATCGCAATCACCGTCAGGTACATATTTGATAGACATTTGATATTAATTAAAAAAAAACACCTTAAAGTTATTAATAATTATTATTATGTGCCAGACACCCATAGCAATGACCTGCTTTCAAACTAGGCAATTCCTTGTACTATGGTTTCCAGAGCAACGGTATTCATTCTGTAGCACTTTCCAGAACACCCAGACAAGAAACAATTTAGAAAAGTAAATTTCGCAATTTGGTCCTACCGGGAGTCGATTCCAGGAGCTCCTCCTCATCGCCAACAATGCAAAACCGTTGTACAGTCGTCATTAATATATTAATAGTATTAGTTTTGAACGAGTAGATCATTTTGACGCTGCCTATACCTACTTAAATTTGTGGAAAAGTGGCATCTCCAAACTGCAGGTCAACAAACCATGGACATCGGTTATATCACCGCGTTGACATAGTTACATTAAATCTACATAACGTTATATTGAATCGTATGCAAATCAACAACCTCCATAAAGCTGGCTTTACGTAATCGGCGTGACACATAAAGTGTTTTAAAAGAGATTGTAATATACTCGTACAATGTAACTGGTTAAGGCGCTACGCAGACGATGATTTTGGGCTTTCTTATACAAATACTGCTTGTATGGTGTGTCCATGTATGTGTGTGTTTGTGTGTTTTAGTAGCTGAAGAGCTTGTAAAAGTGTTCGTCCAGTGAAGTACTGGCATGCTCACATTACTGCCTTTCGGTTTTGAAGGGTAAGGGTTCTGGTGAAATTACAAGCACTTGGGATTTGTCAACTTATATCCCAGGGTGACGAGTGCAGTCGCAGTGCCTCTAAGATCTTTGCAATTCAAAGCTCTGAGTGGCACTGTAACTGCTATGGATAGGCGTGTCGCTTACCACCAGTAGCACAACTTGTTCATCCCGTCGTATTAAAAAAAACCATAGGATTTATAAAACGTTAGAGCTACACAGCACTATCAAATAAGTTTCTCGCTTTTGGAGTTGTTAGAATTATTCATTGAGTTAACAGCGGCTATTAGTGTTATGTAGGGCTACAAAGCGCTGTGTAACACAATGTAGCGCTAAATAAGTAAATTCTTACTCTTGCTCACACTTGTTCCGCAGTGAGTCCCTCGCACTCTGAATTGATTTAACAGCGACTACTCGCACTGTATAGCGCTATGTTGCGTAACCCACACGCTACACGATATCATCATTCACTGTATTATTATATTCGATATTCTTTGTTACACGAGTACCTTTTTCAGAACACTTCTTTATCATTGTTAAGGACTGTATTTTTAAAAAGTAGGTGTCGTAGCTTATAATATGATATTATTTTAAAAGTAACTTTCTAAATTTATAAAATTTTCATATGTTTCATAACAAGTACTGCAGATTATCCATTTTTAATACAGGTTTTATTGCCTATTTATGGGTTCGTCTCTAGACGTCATTGATAACGACGTTAGATCTTACACAACTTTTTGTTAGTAATAAAGCACACACTAATAATGCACACACTCAACATAGCCCCGCACTAAGGAAACGCTGTGTCGCGGGTGCCATGGACACACACATAGACAACCACAAATTACACCCAAACTCATGAGAGAAATGAATGTAGACTATACAAATATTTCTCCCGGCCCGGGAATCGAACCTGGGACCTCTGCGTGACAGTCCTTCATGGTAACCGTTCGACCACGGAGGCAGTTACAACTCCAAGTAGCAGAAGAACTCCTTGTGAAAGAGTTCGTAAAGGAAAGTACTGCCACTTTACCTATTTCTACACCAAGCATTAATGTGAGCATTACTGCGTTTTGGTTTCGGTAAGGGTGCTGGTGCAATTACATGGAACTTGTCAATTTATCAAATTTATGACAGTTACAATGCTCTTCAGATCTTTGTGATTCGAAACTCTGAGTGGTACAACAACTGTTATGAACAGCCGTGTCGCTTACCACCAGGCGCAGGACTTGTTCGTCCCGTCACTTGATATCATAAAAATAAACTTTCAAAAGCGAACATTCGCTCCTAATAGTCGTCAACCTTTTTTATATAAATAAAAATGTAACTCAAATGATAGAACGAAATGGATCTCGTATCAATCTGTATAACTCAATATATGTAAAGTGTTAATTCGAAAATATATTGTCATAAAAATGTCCAAGTTTGATTATGACAGTTAAATTAATAAATTTACGAAATAACATCGCACTGATATTACAATAGTGTTATAATTCAAAATATGTGAAATTCAAGATTATACCATTGTTGAACGTGAAATTTGATTTTGTACACGTCAATAAAACCGTCATTAGAATATTGTAAAAAACAAGTAAAAGATATCTACTTAACTCAAAATGAGACACGCTTTATGTGAGGTAGTTCTGGCCAAAATAGTCCTAATTCAAAAATATGACATGATTTTTTTTTTCTTTTATTTTAAAATATGTATATTTGGCAAGTAGGAAATAACCTATACATAAATTTACACAGACCTTTCACGGGAAGCAAATAATTTGTTTTTCGTCGACTCTGAGAAAATACACTTTTTCAGTTAATGCACTATTGTATTAACAGTGCGACATGTCAAAATTCAATCGTAGAAACACAATTTCGCTGGAAGTTAATTTTCAGTACCTATACAGGCTGTAATAAAATAAATATCTTATTTCAGTTGATAACATTCAACATCAGTTTGTTCGCGAACATGTTGTATGAGTAACTAAAAACCAAAAATCTCAGTACAGAGTACTAAAAAAACCGACCTCAAAAGTACGTGGAATTACATATAATTACCAAATTTTATTGAAATCGGTTACCGGAAAGTGCGCAAACCCGGATTCATCCCCTAGTTCGCCACTATACGGGACTTGCCACATGAGATAATAAAAATCGGTTCTCACTACTCAAAGTATATTGAGAAAAAAACGCCTTGAATTAAAGAATAGCAAAATCAACCATTAAAATAATTGCTCATTGTACTAAAATTTAGGCGCTTTTATATATTTTTTTTATTTATAAAAATGAAGCTTTATGCGTGAACAGCCACCCTTAGAGGTGGATGATTTTCTTCAAAATTGAATGGTATCACTATGGAGGTACCCTCTTTCCAACAAAAAAAAGAATCATGAAAACTGGTTCACAAATACCGGAGTTATCGCGTAACATACATACAAAAAAAACATACAGTCGAATTGAGAACCTCCTCTTTTTTTTTTTGAAGTCGTTTAAAAAAACAATGTCAACTATGAAACTTCATTCGCATCATGTCTCTTTTAAAATGGTCGAGTATTACTTATTTCACAATAATTGTCTTGGACGGAGAACGATTGTAGACCTCTGCAGATCCAACCACGACCCAGAGCGGTGGTCAGCGACCCAACTCTGAAGGAAGGAAATTAATTTGCATTTTTTTTTTTATGTCATTTTATTTTATTTTTTTATTTACTTTCTATGTCATAATTAAGAGCTTGGTTCTTGTCGGTTTATCGCCAACCATCGTTGTTTAGAGCCCTAACTCTGAGTTCGTGATACGACTCGACGTTAACTATTTCCTTTATCTTTTTTTTAATATATGTATAATAGACACACGCTTGGCAACAATCTCACCTGATGTTAAGTGACGATGTGACCGACGATGGAACGCGTTTGCCTAAAAAAAATGCCTATTCACTCCAGCCTTGAATAGCCCCAAATTGTACGTTTCGGGAGACACAGATGCCATAGAGTATTCCATTCATTTGCCGTACGCATCAGAAAGGAGGAAGCAAAGCGCTTAGTGCGAATTGGTGGTATATCAACGACATAAGGATGGAGTGTTCCGGACCTTCTAGACGACCGAAGGAGGAACGGTTCTGAAAAAACGGTTCCGGTTCGGAAAAGTTCCTGCGCACGCTCTCCGAAATGTATCCGATAAAAAACCGACAAGCAGGCAACTTTTCTGCGATGGCCGAGATTTTGTAGTTTCGACTCCACAAGAGAATTGTTCTTAATAAGCCTCTACTATGAGATTACAGTGACAGTTGTGTAAAATGTTACTTCTACTTATATCCACTAAGGGCGTTGTAGTACAATTTATCATACAAAAGTGTGATGTAATTGACGCGGTCGCTACCGACAGATGTTACTGTAATCTCAAGGTAGAAGCACTGATCTATACAACTTCGACTGCTTACAGATTGACTGCATGTTTGCAGTTAATGCATGAAGTCGTGATCAACTTCATGCAGTCGAGACCGACCTCGACTTCATAAAATCAGTTTCGACTTCATAAAGGCGGTTTCGACTTCATAAAGTCGGTTTCGACTTCATGCAGTTAAGGCATGAAGTCGCTATTTGAGACCTCGACTGTATGAAGTTGATAACGACTTCACGCAGTAACTGCATGATGTCGGTTTTATTATTATTAATAATAACTTTATGGTGCTTTTTAAATTACTATTAAATGTCAATTAAAAGTGTACCTGACAGTGATTATGTGTTTAACGTTGTGTCATGTGATTAACGTTGGTATTAGTCATCCACCTGTGCCATTGTGCGATCGTGTGTGGTCCAAGTCAAAGGCGTCGAGTGAGGTAAAATTACAAGGTGAACATAGTGAGAAGCAAATTATTGAAAAAGAGGCAGAGGAATGGATTGAAGTAAAAAGAAAGAAAAATAAAAATAGGTTTTTGAGTATTAAAGGAAAGGGGGCCGGTGACGGAAATTTTAAGGCTGCGGACACGAAAATACCTCTTTTCATAAACTACGTAGCCAAACAGACCACAGAAGAAGACATTGTCCATTATATTGCCCAAAAAACGCAATGTAATGTAACATTGAAAAAAATTAATGCCAAATATGAGCGAGGATATAATTCGTATAAAGTTTTTGTACCACAGCCGAAACTACCGTTGTTTTTAGACGAAGATTTTTGGCCCGAAGGTGTGTCATTCCGGCGTTTTGTTTATATCAAAAGATATGAGGAGAAAGAATTGGATAGAAATGAAAAAGTGTGCTAATTATGACTAAGAATAATAGACCGTATGATGCAAAATTTTGTAGTTATAACTGCAAATCAGTCACTAGATCTGTTGACAGCGTTAGAATGTTATGTCGGACAGCTGATGTTGTTTGTTTGCAGGAGACGTGGCTTCTTCCACACGATATTCCGTATTTAGGCTCGATTAGCTCTGACTTTGCCTTTACGGGGAAATCAGCTGTTGATACGTCAGAGGGAGTACTGCGTGGGCGTCCGTACGGTGGCGTAGCTATACTTTGGCGTAAAAGCGTTTTTAGTAACGTTTCCACTATCGGCTGTTATAGCAATCGAATAACAGCTATAAAGATACAAACAATGGATCGTTCTCTTCTAATATTTTCGGTATATATGCCCACAGATGACAATCACTCACAGGACACCTTATCAGAATTTACGGAGTGTCTGGGTGAATTACAAGCAATAGTGGATGAATGTGGTGTAGATTCGGTCATTATTTTAGGCGATTTTAATGCTAGTGTGCAAAAACGATTTGGTAAGGAATTACAAAATTTTTGCGTGGAACAGGATTACCAATGCCTGGACTGGGAACTTTTTGGAGTAGATTCGGACACGTATACGTACGTGAGTGACATAGACGGGTCCAGAAGCTGGGTAGACCACTGCTTGGTATCCCAAGCGGCTCGAAGCTCGGTGGTGAACATTCGTGTCAACTACGAAGTGTCTTGGTCGGATCACTTTCCACTCGAAGTTTTTTGTGACTTAAACATTCTTAGACCAAAAACTAGTGCAATACCTAACCAAAAAAGTAAAGTTGTATGGGGTGAAAGGGACTTCAATGAAATTGACCTGTATACTAAGTTTTGCTTTGAACACCTGCGCGACATTAATTTTCCCTCAGAATTTAATGAGTGTAGTGACCATTTATGTAATAATGTAGACCATAAACTCAGTTTAGATAAAATGTACTCAAATATTGTTAATATCTTGAATTTAGCTGCAATACATAGCAATTGTGATAAAACTTACCATAGTAATAAGAAAAAAAAACATGTTACAGGCTGGAATAAGCATGTCAGTGCTTGTCATGGGGAGGCTCGGCTTAGGTTTTTGGAATGGGTTAACTGTGGTAAGCCTAAAGTAGGCCACATCTACAATAGGATGCAAGAGACTAAAAGAGATTTTAAAGTTAAACTTAAATGGTGTCAAAATAATAAGGAACAAATACGTATGGATATATTAGCATCCCACCATTACAATAAAAAGTTTACAGATTTCTGGAAAGAGACAAAAAAGTCTAATATTAAGCCTAGCCTGCCTGTCAGTGTGGAGGGTGTGACTGAACCCTTCCAAATAGCGGAATTATTTCGGTCACATTTTACAGTTAGGTCGCCCCTGGGGCCTGCGGCGAGTCAGTCCCTGGATCTTAATAAAACACAGCAACCACAGCTTGTCCGATTCACGGCCAAGGAGGTAGCGGCTGTCATCAAGGGAATGACGCGCGGCAAGTCTCCGGGACATGATTTTCTCAGCGTAGAGCATTTGAAGTATGGAAGTGTACACTTACCTAGAGTTCTCGCCTTATTCTTCACATTGTGTATAGGACATTCGCATTTGCCTCAAGATCTAATGAAAACGGTTGTTGTCCCCATTGTGAAGAGCGGGACGGGTGATGTCTCGAGTATTAATAACTATAGACCGATATCCTTGGCCACAATAGTAGGTAAAGTGCTGGACAGTCTGCTTGACAAGCATCTAAGGAAGCACTTGAAATTACATGATGCTCAATTTGGGTTTCGACCAGGATTGTCCACCGAAGCTGCTATCCTTTGCCTTAAGCACACTGTCCAGTACTATACTTCGAAAAGTACTCCTGTCTATGCTTGCTTTCTCGACCTGTCCAAAGCTTTTGATCTTGTGTCATATGACAGGTTGTGGAGTAAGTTACAGAATGAAACTGACCTGCCAGGGGATATAATAAATATCTTTAGGTTTTGGTATGACAACCAACTCAACTACGTTCGATGGGCGGGCACAACGTCTGCCATGTACAGGTTGGAGTGTGGTGTGAGACAAGGGGGCTTAAGCTCGCCGAGTCTCTTCAACCTGTACATGAATCGTTTAATTGTTGAACTCAGCAACACCGCAGTCGGATGCTCCGTTGCTGGTACTATGGTTAATAATATCAGTTACGCGGATGATATGGTGTTGCTGAGTCCTTCGATAAGTGCCCTCCGTAGACTAGTTGGGATGTGTGAGCTCTACGCTGAGGCCCATGGCCTTAGGTACAATGTCGCGAAGTCCGAGTTGCTTCTGTTCAGAGCAGGCAGCAAATACTGTAATAATATTCCACAGGTGAAGTTGTGTGGCACCCCTCTGAGCAGGGTCCCGAGATTCAAGTACCTAGGGCACTGGGTTACCGAGTCGTTGGAAGACAACACTGACGTTGAAAGAGAGCGTAGGGCGCTGGCAGTGCGGGGTAACATGTTGGCTCGTAGGTTTGCAAGGTGTACCAACAGTGTGAAGATTTCACTATTCAAAGCTTATTGCCAGACCTTTTACACCTGCAGCCTATGGGTCAACTACACCCAAAAAGCCCTTAGTACGTTAAGAGTTGTATATAATAACATATTCAGGATGCTGTTGCGGCTGCCGCGATTCTGCAGCGCCTCAGGAATGTTCGCGGATGCCTGCGTTGATGGGTTCGCGTGCATCATGAGAAAAAGAGTGGCCTCTCTGATGCGTAGGGTTCGGGACAGCCGTAACAGCATCCTCGAGGTCATTGCTGGTAGGGTCCAGGGTTCATTCTTTGAACATTGGACCAAGCTCCATGTATTCCCGAAGCCAAGCCAGTATTTGTAGGTAGCATCATTATGTATATATAATACAGGTAATGGTGATACTTATAAATATTGTATAAATTATTGTACATATGTTTTTTGTTTTTGTTTTGTATTTACTAACACTAGTGTGTAAGTGTTGTGCTATGTTTTTACTAACAAATATGGATATAAAATGTCTGAAATAAATGGTTTGAATTTGAATTTGAATTATGTTAAAGTTGATTTACTCAATAAATGTACGATATTTTGATAGATTTTAACGCTCCACCTCTCAGTCTAATATGAACGCCAGTCTATAGTTCACATTCCTGTACCTTAGAATTTAAAACACAGGAAAATGGGTATTCATTAAATAAATAAAGCAAACACACACTCACAGACTCGCACTATGAAAACCCTGTATTTCTTTTTTTATAGTAGCAAGCGACAGGACGAACAAGTCGTGCGCCTGGTGGTAAGCGACACGCCCATGCATAACAGTACCAATCAGAGCTTTTAATCGCAACGATTTTAGAGGCACTGTCACTGTGCCCATCGCCTTGAGACTTAAGTTGACAAGTCCCATGTGCCTGTAATTTCACCAGCACCCTTACCCTTCGAAAACGAAACGCAGTAATGTGAGCATTACTGCTTGGCTGCTGAAATGGGTAAGTTGGCAGTACTTTCCTGGACGAACTCTTTCACAAGCTCTACTGCTACTCAAATAACCTGTATTCCGGGTGACATGGACACACACATATACAATTATAAATTTTAATCTTTGTCTGTCTGTTAGTTAGCATATTTTTATTTATATCCCAGATCTAGTTGTAATATGCTAAAACATTAAACTTAAGTGTATGACTAATAAGGTCAATTAGACTCACATCACTCTGCGCGAAATCAATGAAATTCTGCAAGTCAGGATCGTCTCTGTACGCGTGGACGACCCTCTCAGTGAAGCTTAGCTCGAGAAGACCGTGCAAAGACCTCGGGAACACAAACCCGCATACAGCGCCGCCCATCTCCACCAGGAACAAGATCAGCAGGCACAGCGAGTACTAGAAAAACATTTAAGATCATTAACCCATATAGCGTATGCAACTTGCGTGCGTACACCCAGTCAGTATCACGAGGGGATCTACTCCTGTTCTTTGTCTGACATCCGTCCTAAACAATTACTGCCAAAGAAGTAATAGGTACACGACCAAAGACAATGATAAGTATAATATTTTGGCCCTATACAATAGGCCCTACACAATCCTATGGCTCCCGGGTATCTGAAAGAGCGTTTCAGCTTGCTCAGGTCTCAGGATAAGCCCTGTCGCTCTCTCGTTAGGTCCCAGTTATCTTTTCCATCCTTCAATTCCGGTTTTTATTCTCACTCCTTCGCTATTCATACGGTCAGACTTTGGAATGCACTTCCCATTACTGTTCATGATAGCAAATCCTTAGCAATTTTCAAAACGAGAGTTCAGGAGCACTATTTGTCGACAGTTCCATCCATTTTATAGGTATTAAAGTACGAAATTTGTTCTAATCTAAGTATTTATATAGTTTTAATAATTTTATGTTTTTGATATTGTTTTTTTTTTCATAATTTTTGTTTTGTTGTGCACGTAAACCCGTTATTGTAATTATTGTCTTCTGTACATATAGGTCTGCAGTAAGAAATTTTGTGTTAGAAATAAACCTTTTGTTTGTGTTTTCCTTGTTACGAAATGTGTTTTTGTTTTTTCTGTACAATAAATAAGTAAATATTAATATGCATCTTTTTTATTTGGTCGAGTATTACTTATTTGACTGTAAATGTTTCGGACGAATGTCGGACAGAGAACGGCAGTAGACCCCCTGAGTCGTTGGCGAGTGTGGACGGGGTGTTACGTCATGCCTGACGTTGTCAAGCCAGTGTTCTCAGGGACAGGAGCAAACATAACAAAACAAACCCATACACAGAGTTATATGTAAAATACTAACAAGTTATATGTAAAGTAATAAGAAAGTCGTAGGACTATATTATTAACGCAAAAATCGTAACCAAAAACTTAAGGATCGTCACGATAATCGCATTACGATTAGCATTCAAGTTAATCGTTAACGACGTAGGCATACACTACTGATTCGTCCCTTTGATCAGCCTTAAACGACGGATCGTGAAGATGTGTCGTCTCATATATGGGGTCCTTTAGACAGTAAAATCAATATCGACACTAGATGGTGCTAAAATCAAGCAGCATATCAAGGTACACACTGGCAAATCTTGTTACGTCGTTTGGAGGCAATATTCCAACAAAAGTAAATCTAGTTTTATTGTTAACTCGCATGTACGTTTTTATATCGATAAATGGCAAATTAAATTAAGAGGCTACGATGTTTTACTAGCCCATACAGACAATTAAATAAATCTCTTACGAATTTGAGCAAGCACGTGTTTTCCCTGAGTGCGCCGACGCATCCGGCGAAGCTGACAATGAACACCACGCCACCGAGGAGCGCGATTAAAAGGCTAATATTCAACATCAGATCGTATACTGTATCCAGCTGAAATGCACGAAATGTCATGGTTTTAAAAGTAAACACCAAAATACACATATACTGGCGCTTGTATGCTTGTAGCAGACAGGATTAGTGGTAATAAACACACCAGGAAGCATGTGTATTTTGGCCTTTATGTATTCAGATCAATTAAGCTAAAGTAACGATGATGTAAGCCGTTATATTACAAGCGACATATATAACACTTTTACTCCGTTTTATCCACAGACATATACTATTTTATCGCAATTCACGGTACTAGGTTATTTTTGTAGTAAACAGAAATGACGTGCAGATTGCGCCGTTGGGTCGTGCGGGATACGACGGGCGGTACCTATTATCGTGGTCACGAGTACATGCGAAGACCACATTATTTCTATTCGCCTAGTTTTGTTGGAATCGGTTAACGGAAAGTGCGCGAAACCGGATTCATCTCCTAGTTTGCCACCCTTAGAGGTGGAATATAGTCTTCAAATTTAAATGGGACCAATACTGAGGCAACCGTTTTCAACAAAAAAGAATCATCAATTTTGATATCAAAATCCGCCGGAGTTATCGCGTGACACACGTACAAAAAATACAGTCGAAGAACCTCCTCTTTTTTTTTGAAGTCGGTTATAAATAATGAAACACTATTTTAACTTAGTAGCCACGTTGAGGCAAATGCTGGCTCGAGTCTAGTAGGATCAAAGGAATTTTTCTTTGTCTTTATTCCATCTTTGTATCAATATTAACAATAAACTAATAGAATATTTTCACAACAAAATATATAAAAGTCATGATATTCAATAAAATAACTATTTCATCTATATCCCGCTGCGTATGTCGCTGTCGTCGAGTCGCAGGCATACTCCGCCTGGCATAGGCTTTACATGCACAATACGAGCCATTTTTCAAAGTCTTTGGTATGGTTTCTGTCTTTTCCATATGCTATCAGAAAATAAGGTAACCAAATTCTGCATGGGATTGTTTATCAAAATCGTATAGGCCCTGATACTTTAAAATATAAAAAATTATGACTCGACTGTTAGGTAACCGTAAAAGCAGTGATTTAACAGAAAGATAAAATTTCAATGCCACTGGGTTATCTTGCGCATTAGACGGCAGATAGTATTATGTCATGTGCATACAACTGCGTGGTTACCTTAATTCAATCAAATTGTTAAAAAAACTAAAGTTATCCTCATACCTTTATTAATCCAGTAGCTTGCCATTTGTCTATAAAGGCATATAGGCCAACGCCTATCATTAGCCCTCCAAATAACTGAAAAGAATTCAATACAAAATAAGCAATAGACAATGAGTAAAGAGTTGATTATGGACAGTATACATAACATTTTTATTGCATAACGCATTAATCACATGCAAGCATTAAAAATTTTTTTACAGGTAATATCGAGAATTAACCGAAGTTTGTGACTGGAACTATGTCATTTTTCAAACCGTGTGTTATGAATATGATGGCTTTGTACAATGTCACAAAAAGTTGAAGCATTTTTAGAACATTTTCAATAACAAGAAAAAGTAAAAATAACAACAACTGCAACTGCTTTATTTTTTTGTTTATTATTGGGGTTGTTAAATATTTTACCAAGAAATAATCAACTTCAGATATTTAATTTATAAGCAAAATTTTTCTAAAAAATTTTACCATCACCATTCACAACTTACTTAAATAATTATCGTTAATTTCATTATCCAACTTATTTAGTTAAACATTTTTCATTACAATCATACCTTGAAATGCAGTAAGTAAAAAAAACTTATTTTCCAAACAGCGGCAAGAAGGCGTTGATTTTTAACTAACTTTTCCACATTTTTTTGTCTGAATGTACTAAGTGTAAAGTCACATGAGCTACCAAGTATTTTTTTGCAGTTTTGTTGCAATCAAAATGATAATATCTAATCAAATCAAATCAAACTGTTAGTCTCAAGTATACAATTAAGCAGCTTATTGTATAGTTTTGACGCCATCGCACAAATATCATCATGAAAGAGGGTAGTCTTACAGGCAACTAGTTTCAATTTATTGTGTCTTCGCGTACTTTCCACGTTGCTGAAGAGTGTGAGATTTCTCCGAACAAAAGGAACCGTTTCAAACATGTATATTGAAGGAACTGTTTGTGAAATTGCGGTATACAACTGTCTATATGGCACAACCCACAAATTGCCCGAATGCACCTTTTTGTGCAATCAAAACGTCCATACTTCGTTTGGCATTACCCGAAAACATAATACCTTATCTTATGATTAAGGCTACATATCCGAGGTAAGCCTTTAGTAATGCATCTTGGTCTACAACTTTAGGTAGTCTCCACAAAGCGTATGCAAATCTATTTATTCTCATACACAAGATTTCTATGTGTTTTCCCCATGTTATATTATTGTCTATGTATATTCCTAAAAATTTTGTAACTTCCTACTCCTTCAATTTTGTATTCATATAGCTTATGTTATGTTGAGTACATACTTTATTAATTTTGTGTCTAAATTTCATATACACAGTTTTACTCAGATTAATTTGTAGTCTATTATCTTGTAACCATTTTATTACAGATATTAATTTCATTGTTTATTTCTTGGTCAAGTCTATTGTGGTTCTCAATGTCAAAAATTACAGTACTATCATCCGCAAACATTAGCATGGGATATTTTGTAGCAGTGTTCTAGTAATATTTATTTACCTCAAATAATTATACTTGAGACATTACATTTGTATTAAAAGACAGCTTTTCAAGCTTAACATACCTAGTATAATATTCCAATAAATAATTTTATTGGTTTAAAAAATACATATAGAGAAACAAGAGATTGGAATAAAGGAGTGTATTTGTGTAACCTTCAAGGATACACATAGTGTGAACAACAACACCTTCCAGTGAAATTGTGGCATCATTACATTTTCTTGTTCAGGGTTTGATTCAAAACGTGATTGACAATATTGTAATGTAAAGTACATGTCAGACATTTACAAAACTGTGCAAAGGCTACTTTGCTATACTGCTGTATATGATCTAAATATTCTTTAGAGCAAATATGTACTAGCAGACTTACTCCAATAATACGAAAAATAAGTTAGAGATAAACTTTATCTATGCGTTTTTTTTTTCAGTATTTAATTACTTCATTTTAATTTAAACATTAGCAGTAAACAATGACTCATGTAAGTATTACCTAAACGCCCCGGAAGAGATAATAATTTTAGTACATTCAAAACTGAATGCTAAAAGCATGCACATATGGTAGACGGTAGGTATCATTATATTGGTAAAATGTTTTAAAATTAATAACTGAAAGAAAAACAATTGAGTCTAATTAGTCTCACAAGCAAATCATTAAGGAAAAAAAAGAAACAGTAAATTCTAACATATTCGCATACAATTAAATTAAATTTCACAATGCGGAATCCCCTGCAACAACTGCCTCTTTTGGTACCTGAACAACTTTAGTTTTCCAGCTGTAAAACTTATAATAAAAAAATATGTGGTATATTCACAACGAGCTATGGACCTCCTGATCGTCAGTACATCAACACAAATTCATATTCCCTTTTTTCTTAAAGACAGGATCAGATTCATTTCTATTTTAGTTATAACTGTCTTTCAGGCGAAATAAAACATATCATAATTCAGTGCTGCCTATCATTTAGGCAAATATATACAGCTATAAATATGAACATTTATTTAAATATATAAATATAAATAATTATCTAAATATATCATACTTAATTCAAAAGTTGTATTACTATATTAACATAAATATTTAATAAATAGGGAATAAGCAAAAATGTGAACGGAATTAGTAATATAAAGTTTGTTGAAAATGAAGGAAAATGAAAGGAAAATCAAACTCAACAAAGAAAACAAATAGACATTGTTACAATTTTGAAACAATTGTACCGAGAACGGTAGCAGAGCTCACTAATTTGCGTTTTCACACGTTCATAGATTGTGTTTCCCACAGAGAACGATGATATACCCTGATGATTCACCACAAACATGAGAAAAAGTTACATCTCTCTTAACAATGAAATTTTAACTTTCCTGCCTATATTTCCACTTTCCATGAATGGCAATGTCTGCAACATGGTATCAGTGTACTAAAAGCTCAAAATCACTCACCCAAAATATGAAATTCAAAACAAAAATCATGTATTTTACGCAGCCACTGACATAGGTGAAGTTAGGACCTCGCCGTCGATGCATTTTGATTTATTTTTCCATAAAATTATGCACAATTGAAAGGTAATACTATTAGTTTATGTTTAACGTATTGTTTTTATGGTTTTAAACATATAAAACACATTTTTCAAGCTAACAAACGATTTCCGTCCAACTCCATCCGTTCCTCTGTCAACTTTGATACATAGACTATATAATATAAGAAGACTGGATGGATGGATGGGTCGTTACATTGACATTTCTGTAGAAAATGATCATGGTTTTCTTAAGATTTTTCCGAACGAATCTTATCCATCTTCCATCAGATTTAATTTTACTGTTTCAAATAAATTGTTAGAACTAACATAAGCAGAAACTAAAATGACTTTAATAAATGTGGCTCGCTGTCCAAGCACTGAAAATGAAGTATTTCATTAAATTTATATATTTTCTTTAATTTAATTGACACAAAAACCATAACAAAAATCCCTACCACAAGGCAGAACGAAAACAATAATGTCAAAAATGACATTTTTATTTACTGTAAACAAACGTTTGTGGCGAATATGGTGTGTGCCGCGTATTTTCAAGTAAAAAATCGGTAATTAGGTGAATTATCTGTGGCGGCTTTAATTCCCCAAATATCTAATCTCTAATCGAATTGGTAAAACTATTACGTAATACTGATAAACCAAAAAATTTTATGTCACAGCTACGTGGATTGATTTACCGAAATGGATACACGTTGGGTTGTCTTCATTTTTAGGTGCGTACCTATTATTTTTAAAATTGATACTTTGTTAACGGCTTCAATTGCCATAATTGCAGCCTTAAGACCTCCACTGCTGGACATGGCGTCCGCCAAAAGGTCGCCACAAAAACCGATGTCATATCGGGTATTCAGTCCACCTTGTGGTTGGTCTAACTAACGGCGCTAAGTCTTCCCGGACACGATTGCATTTCGAGAACTGTTTGGTTATCTGTTCTATGAGCAATGCGCCCCGCCTATTAAGTTTAACAATCCTTTAGGCTATACACCAATATAGCCTAAAGTATTGCTAAACTTTTATAAATACCAATCTAAGTAACCATACTTAGATTGGTTTTTATATCCTCATGTCAGATCTCGCAAAGATACTCTGGCCTTACCTTCTCCTTTGTTCTCTAGATGACCTTGAGCCTTATGAGGCGTTATCAAATTAGATGCATGTAGAAACGCTGCAGTGGCGCCAGTACCGATTTTCATACAATATTTAGAAGCACAGCTGCAGCCCCACAGTCACTCTATAAGCGTGTCACTTTGGACTAGATATTGTATGAATATTATTTCTTTACACTTCTACAAGCAATAAGACATGCATGTGTCATTGCCACACACACACCCAGCTACTTTGGAGAAAAAATGGTGCAGCTTTACGAACGCTACCCAGCTGAATCAAATTCAACATGTTTCAGAAGTGGGATGGGTGCATAGTTCTTCAGTAGTGCATTATCACAATTTTGGAAGAAGAACACCACCACAGCTCTCCATGTCTGCATTTGTTCTCTTAACCTCTGAAGAACCATAAGGACCAATTTTCTAATTATTTTTGTTAAGAGTTTTGGCTTGGATAGTCCTTTGAGCCATGTCTTCATTTAATTATCAGGATCCTCAATAAATATTTTCCATTGTAATTTTAATACATTATTTTCACTTTCTCTTAAAAATTTAGTGCTCTTGTTTGGGTTTTCGAAATAGTCTTTTAAGCAGCGGGTGTCAATATGTTTCACATTATTGTCAGTTTAAACAAAAACTTTGAATTTTTAGTTAAGTAGTGGAATTTTCAAATAAAATATGATAAAATATTTTGTAGTTTGATTTCAAATAAGGAATATAGTACTAACTTTCTTCATCACTATGTCTTTCTTCATATTTAAAATTAAAATAATTTTTGTAAAAACTGTACTTGTGACTTCAAAAGCCCACCATTTTTCCCTACTTTTCTAATTGTTAAAAAGTTCAGTTGTGGTGTCATAATCACCTGTTGTTTTGTTGTTTTTAAGCTATTTCAGAGCCATACTAATTTTGCAGAGGTTAAGTTTAGGGAGCCCTATCACTTTAACCTAGACATTAAAGTGTTAAGGCTCTTGAGCCGATTGCTAGATTTGAGGCAAGTCACATTGACAAGTATAATTAAATTGTCCTAAGAATTTGTGAACCATTCAAAAGCTCGGGTTTGTATGTCACAATCCTGTCTTTAGTTTTAATCTTCCCAATAGACAGATCTCTTGGTGCCGCTGTTTTTGTCTGTTGTCTCAGACTTTGAGATCTGCAGCCATCATTAGAATGCTGTATCACGTAGCTGAACCCAAACAGCTGTGAGCTAAGGATGTTTTAAACTACTTTAAGAATGTTATTTTTCACCTACAACTAACACAATAAAGTAAATCCCAAATTCAATAACTATCTGATGTCTTTTGTCAGGAACTATTTATAGCATTAATCTAGTAACCATATTTTATATTAACATCTAGCTTGAGTTAAATTTGACTTACTCATTCGTAACAAGCTTGCTTCATCTGGCAATACTTTATATATTTTCTCATTTCAGTCTTCTATCAGCGACGTGTGGTTGGGCTGAGAAACAAAGGAAGTTTAAAGATGACTTCCTCTTTGGTGTCTCCACATCAGCTTATCAGATTGAGGGAGGATGGAATGAAGACGGTTTGTTTTCAAATTAACTTTAAGTCTATTGATTATTTGAATTACTTATCATATGGCGCTTATTGCTATCCTAAACAACAAATGGTGTAACTTAATGGTATTATTTTTTAACCAACTTGAAAAAAAAGAAGGTGGTTCTCGGAATAACTGTTTTTTTTGTGTGTGTTACACGATTACTCCAGCATTTGTGAACCGATTTTGATGATTCTTGTTTTGTTAGAAATGGGGTAAGAGGTTGTTAGTAAAGAGGGATGATCAAATTCTGGACTGTTAATATGATTAAAATTTTACACAGCATTCATTTGAAATAAGCATTTGATATTTCAATACGAAAACACAAATTGCAAATCCAATTAACAACCTATGGAATTTTTCTTATGTGCAGGAAAAGGGGAAAGTATATGGGACCACCACCTCCACAAGCACCCCGAAGTAGTAATTGACTTTGTGAATGGGGATGTGGCCTGTGACTCCTACCATCTTTACAAGAGAGATGTGGAGATGCTCCGGGAACTTGGAGTGGATTTCTATCGGTTCTCAATCTCTTGGAGTAGAGTATTGCCTACAGGTAATTTAGTCTTTAATTTCTTAAAAACATTGATTCATGAACTCATCCAACATGATAAAGCCTGTTTGTCAGGTAACATTTAGTAGCAATAGAGCTCAATGTGAAAGAGTTCGTGGTACTGCCACCTTACCCATTTCTGCCGCCAAGCAGTAGTAGTGTCAGCATTACTGTGTTCCGATTTTGAAGGGTAAGTACCACAAATACAAGTTTATGTCAGGTTTGTACCACAAGTGCTTCAGTTACATTGAGATCGGAGCAACATATGTGATGTTGTCTAATATTTATAAATATATATATATGTGTGCTTTCGGAAATCCAATGATTACGAGAGACATAGAAGCACTGTAATTAATTATCCTCTGAAAGAACAGATAATTTATTTACTTAATTTGTGGAATTTTCTTTTCAGGTTTGCCCAACACTATAAACGAGGCTGGTTTCGCGTACTACGATAATCTGATAGATGAACTGTTGAAGTACAACATTATACCCATGGTTACTTTGTACCACTTTGAATTGCCGCAGCGGCTGCAGTTGCTTGGTGGTTGGAGTAATCCCCTGTCTGTGCAATGGTAAGGACAGCACTATACGGCTTGTAGGCTGATTGTAGAAACATCGTGATTTAAGAAAAATAACTTTATTTCAGACTTCGAAAGTGATCGGTCCATACTAAATTAAAATGTTAAGGAACTAAGTGTTAGTATACAATAAAAATCAAAAAGTGAAATTTGAAATATAAAATCAGAAACATTAACATTAAAACATTCATATCTAAAAGTGCAATGACGTCCACCGGGCCAACATTGGGCTGTCCCAGCGGTTCGCAAACGTGCTATGTGGTCATAGCGCGCGTAGGCGGGCCTCCAGTGAGGCACACCTCTTCCTCATCACGGCTGCGAAACCGTCAATCCTCGCTTCGGCGAACATGCCGAACGCGCTGCACCACCGCGGCAGCAGCAACAACACCCGGAACGCGTTGTTGTATTGCGCCGCGAAGTTCATTGTAGGCCCTCTGCGTGTAGTCCACCCACAAGCCGCACGAGTAAAAGGAGACATAAAAAGCTTTAAACAAAGTAATTTGCCTGGTCCGTTTCTCTTACTGTAAACACAAATAAACATAATTTACAATTTTGAATTTTTTGACTTAGTGAAGATGACTGTCAAGAACAGCCAGTTTATTTTTAATTAACCGACTTCAAAAAAAAGTAGGAGGTTATACGTTCGGCTGTATATGTATGTTTTATATATGTTTTCCGATTTCTTCGTCCATTATGGACCGATTTAGAAAATTCTTTTTTGTTTGAAAGGGTGCACTTTCATGGTGGTCCCATTGTCATCAAGTCAGAATCTGATGAAGGGATCCCATGGAAATCGAGGAAAACCCTCAAATTTTATAGGCATGGCAGTGTACTCACCGATTTCTCCGTCAAATGTGGACCGATTTTGAAATTTCATCCTTTTTTGTTTGAAAGAGTACACTCTTGAGGTGGTTCCTGATACCGACGGACTAGTTCCGGGTTCGTTTCGGCTATCACAAATTACTAATTATTTTCCGCAAATAAAGACGACTCTTCACTTAACACAATACACGTAATCAATAAATCATCGTCACCATGACAACCAGAAAAAAGTATAAAATGTACAAAGGAGACCGTAACAGTCCCATTGTCACTAAGAAGTCAGAATCTGATGAGGGATCCCATGGAAATCGAAAAAAGCCAACAAGTGAACTTTTGAGGTCGGTTTTTTTTTTCAATGAAAAAGTTATTGTACCTCGTTTTAATACTTTGTCTATCTTCGTTGAAACTACTGTTTTCAAGAATATAAATTACATCTTTATAAATTTACTAGTGTAATTTATGTAGATTCTTCTTCTTGATACGTACTGGCGATGTCCTCTTAGAATTTCGTAATTATCGGGTTTTGCGCTTAGTAATTTTATGGGTTTCTGTATGATCTATTCAACGAGTATTGTGGAAGTACTATCTGAGAGTATAAGCTAGTGTTGTATGCGACGATTTCAAAGTAATTATAATGCCAACGGTAGCCCCAGATTGTCGATTACGACAGTAAGTCGATTAAGACAGTTTCGAAGAAATATACAGGGTGTAAAAATTGTCTTTGTTATTTTGTTTCTTGGATATTTATATGGAACATTTAGAGAAAAGCATTCGTGTGATGTATAAATGGGTTGATGATGGAGCACCATTTTATTGTTGTTGATGGTATATTTTACAAACTACATTTTACAGGTTCCAAGATTACGCCGGACAAGTATTTAAAAGGTACGCAAACAAAGTGAAATATTGGATAACTATCAACCAGCCTTCAGTTTGTATGGAGCCCTATGCGCCGCCTGCTTTGGGCGACGAGGACGCCGTTGGAGCGTATATTTGTGTGAAACATATCTTGCTCGCACATGCGGCTGCTTATCGCTTATATGAGAAGGAGTATAAGAAGAAATATAAAGGTATTTTTATTTATTTTAACTTCTTTTAAGTTGCGTTTTTCCTTATATTTTTCCTTAATAATTATAAAGTGCTAGACAGATATTAAAATCTGCTCTTAAACTAATACCCTGTATTATGAGTATCATGCCCAGAACTCCGAAGCCATAACCAATTAAAAAAATATGTTTTCCCAAATTGGTCCTACCGTGAATCAAACCCGAGACTTAGGGCGCCTGTCCATGCTAAGAAAAGTCACCGTGTCTATGCAAGAATTTGTGCCGTTTCTACACACGAACTGTGTACACTGCCTCGGCGCCGGACAAGAAAAAAAACCTTGTCTACCCCCGACACGACGCGCTCTGCCGCTTTTGTATGGGGCGGGGTGAGGTGCATTGTCAGTAAACGAACGTTTATGCGCGTCGACGGGTGTTGCTTAGTAGTCAACATATAGAACAACATATTTCTTCCTACAGTAGGCAGTAAAACGACAGCTACCTGAAAGACTCGTAATGCACTGACACATGTTACCCTACACACGTCTGTCCGAAAGCATTCGTTTCGTGCACATACTCATCATCTTCTCGTCAGCAACAGACACGACATTTTTTGTGGCTAGATCCGACAAGTTTACTAGCACATGGGACTTGTCAACTTATGTCTCAGGGTGACGGGCGCTATGACACTGCCCCTAAGATCTTTGCGATTTAAAACTCTGAGTGGCACTGCAGTGTTATAGACAGGCGTGCAGCTTACTATCAGGCGCACGACTTGTCCGTCACGTCACTAGATATTATAAAAAAAAATGCAATTAATATTCCTTTAATAACACCTATGCTCCGACTTATATATCCAAAGTAAAATAATTATACCCAGCATGAAACAGGCCTACTTACACCAATCCAGTTGAGAAATGTAATCTGCTAAATTTGTTCTACATTCAATCTAGGTTATCTCACGGTTATTACATTTCAATTGATTACAAATAAAAAATCATTTCACGTAATGCTGTTAACTTTTAATCGCTGAGTCACCGAAGACGTTGTTTTCAATTCCAGGTCAAGTTGGTATATCGTTATCTTTGAACCTATACGACCCGGTCGATAACAGAACTGAAAGTGAAGAGGCTGCTGAACGAGCACGACAATTCGCGGTGAGTACGTTACTAAATAAATATTCATCATAGGTTGCCTATCCAAATCGCATTATATTGAAAATTTGAAAACTAATAAAAAAAATTGTTTTTTCGTCACACTTGCTCGTAAACAGTGTCATGACATGTGGGCAAAGTCGACCGTAATGTCCTAAATTATGCACACGGGCTTTTTCATTACATTATATGATTTTTATAGATTTTTTTACGTCAAATTAAGCAAAAAGTTTTTATTCTCGAAAAATCGGAACGTATATTTCGCATAAACTTGAACCATAAAAAAAACTCAACATTTGCAATTTAACTAAATTTTACTAAATTTATTTTATGAATTCAAATTCTGCTGTATTTATTGAATTTCGAAATTGTTTGTTTCATATTTTAATACATTGTGGTTGCATGCGTCTGTGCCTTTTATAACATTTTAGTTCGAGTTGTATTATTTCTGGAAGAATAGCTAGCAATCTGTTAAAAAAAATACAAAAAACCCGCCATTTGCAAAGTCCGTAAATGTTGGGAAAAAAAATGGCGGGTTTTAGTACTTACAATTTTTCCATACGTTAAATTTTTAGTTTACATATTATTACGTTATGAGTTTCCTAATTATTTGTTACCTGTTTAAGCTGATGGCTCTATAGGCAATGCTCAATAAATAAATAAGTAATAATACATAGGGCGCACTATAAGTTTCCGGAACTGGCCACTTACATAAAGAATATTTAAAATGTAATTACGACATTTGAAAATGGAACTCTTTGGCTGTAGAATACAGTTTGTTTCATCTGACTGTCACTTGTTTTTACATTGTGGCGTCATTTTAGAAATTGGTTGTCTACGTCACCATGGATTTAACTCCGGGAAGCTCCGCTGAGCTGTTAACAGCTCGGCGCAGCTTCCCTCGGCTTCAAACTGCTTTTGGCGATGAAGTACCATATACGACGACTATTTATAGCTGGTTTGCAGAATTCAAACGCGGTCGTGTGAATCTCACTGACGAATTTCGTGATGGTCGCCCGTCCACTGCTGTGAACAACAAAAACATCGATGCTGTGCGCCGTATAATCAAAACAGACAGGCATGTGACATACCATGAGATTCGGTGAGATTCGGGCATATTTAGGCATAGGCATGAGTCAAATACAATCAATAAATACTATACAAACATTTGGGTGTGAAAAAGCTATGCTCTCGGTGGATCCCACACAGTTTGACTGAGGCTCGAAAAACGGATTGCGTCACTTGGTGCAATGCCATGCTTACCAGATTCAACGAAGGGGCTTCAAATTAGGTGTGGGACATAGTAACAGGTGATGAAACATGGATTTATAGTTACAATCCCAAAACAAAGCAGCAATCAAGCGTATGGGCCTTTCGAGATGAGCCGAAACCAACGAAAGTAGCGCGCGTGCAAAATGTCTCTAAGCGGATGATTGCTTCTTTTTTTAATAAAACTGGACACGTGGCTACTGTTGCTTTGGAGAATCGTTGTACAGTGAATAGTGATTGGTACACGACCATTTGTTTGCTGGAAGTTATTGACAAACTCCGTAAAAATAACCGTAAACGCTGTATCATCTTACACCACGGTAATGCCAGTTCTCACACGGCCAGACAGACAAATGAATTTTTGAAGGTGAACAACGTTGACTTTATGAGCCATCCCGCGTACAGTCCCGACCTGGCACTTTGTGACTTTTATTTATTTCCAAAAATTAAGAACCAGCTACGCGCTCAACGTCTTCATTTACGACGTCTTTATTTTAAATTTTCATCACCTGAAGAGGCTGTCATTAGTATGAAAAATATGTTTCAGAGATTGTCACGGAGGAGTGGCATAAATGTCTTCAAAATTGGTTCATTCGTATGAAAAAGTGCATTAACGCTAACGGAGAATATTTGAGAAACAATAAATTCATTTCTGACCTTTTATAATATTTTTTTCTTATTTATTCCGGAAACTTATAGTGCGCCACACGTAATAACGTGAATGATGTTAAGCGATATTAATTAATCATATACAGCCTGACTTCACCCACTGCTGGGTATAGGTCTCCCAAGTTTCTGTGCCACTCCCCACGGTCCCCAATTCCTGCGACGTCATCCGTCCATCTCGCCGCTAGACGCCCGACGTTCCTGTATCCAGTCCTTAGACGCCACTCAGTTATCGCCTCCTACTCCTACTCCATCTGTCATCTTGTCTCCGCAGCAGGTGCCCGGTCCAGCTCCACTTTAGCTTCGTAATGCGGTTCCGCACGTATTTTACCTTTGTTCGACTTTCAATCTGGACATTGGGAACACGGTCTAAAGACTGGATACCGATGATGACACCCTCCGTAGCTCTCTGTGTAACTCTCCTCCTATACACAGCGTCTTGCGTGAGCGTCCGTCCATGCCGTCATAGTAGGCAGAAAACACTGATTATACAGACTGGTCTTCAGACATTGTGGAATTTTCGTCCAACTTGCCAAACGTGGCCCACCCAAGCTGAATTCTTCTGGTGATCTCCTTCATTTGATGTTTCTTGCCAAAAGATAAAACATCCGAGATAAACGTATTGATCGACATTCTGCAACATCTCACTTCCAACTGTGACACTTGGTTTTGTGACGTTGGAGATGTTCGCCATAACCTTAGTCTTGGACATATTCATCTTGAGGCCCACCCACATAGAAGCATCATACAGTTGTTGCAGCATACGCTGGAGATCGTTAAATTTGTCTGCGAAGAGTACTAGGTCGTCTGCAAACCGTAAATGAGACCGGAAGACTCCATTGATGTTAACGCCACATTTCGTCCAATCAAGTGTTTTACTTCGTCTTCTAGAACAGCAGTTTTACCTGCCACTACAACACCATATTTATTAATACAGGAAATAAATTATCGTTGTATCTATTTCCTCGCAAATGTGATAAAAAAGTTTGCGAACTATAATTGATAATTTCTTATGTACCGCCGCCCTTAATATACAATGTACTATTAACCCAACAATATGCGGGACGCGGTGTAGCATCTAAAGCTTGGGGAGAATGACCTTTCTCGTTACTTTTTTATTTTTTGATAATATACAGTTTTAAAGGATTATTTTTTAAGACAATTTATATTATATAAATAACAGCCATATCTAAAACGGAAAGAACATTTTTAAGTTGACAATTGTTTCAAACTTGCAGTCCGGTCTATACCTCAACCCGATATGGTCGAAGGAAGGCGGCTTCCCTTCTGTTGTAAAAGAATTAGTCGCTAAGGTAAGCAAAAAAGAAGGATTTCCAAAGTCGCGGTTGCCTGAATTCACTGAAGAAGAAAATAAGGCCTTGAAAGGTAATTTTCCACGGTTTTATTTACAGATCTGCTTAACCCTGATATGTGTAGATATAGCCATTTGTACACACATCAGAATTGTCTAGGGAACAAACACATTTTTGTCAGTTACTTAAAATCAGGTTTTATCATAGCACATTTTTTTAATACCAATGGATTTTTTGGTGAATTTTATGATGTGAATTTGAAATTAATTTTGAATAAAAAAATTCATTATTGTTAAAAAAATCATTAATAGACCAAATTTTTAGTAATTAGCACAAACGTGCTTGATCCCTAGACACTTTTGATGTGTGTATATAGCAATCGATAGTGTGTCTTTTTTGAAGATGGAGTAAAATTACTTTTGTAGGGTTTTATCTATAGATTGGTAAAGAATGTAAAATTTTGGCAAAAATGCCTGAATTCAATACGTTACTTTCACAATTGGTTCAGTAACTCAGTTGGGAGAGCGTTTGCCACGGTATGCTGAAGGTGCTGGTTCGAATCCAGCCGGGGAATCTCCAGAAGGAATTTTTCTTAGTGTTCGATCTTTGTATTAATAATTATAACAAACTATTGGTGTAATTTCACAAAAAAATATTTGATTATCATAAACAAGCAGTAGCTTAAAAAAATGATGTTTTCAAGTGTAAAAAGTTTACCTATGGAATAAATGATTATTTGATTTTGACTTCTCGAGGATGCGCCAAATGTGTACTGACAATCACGCTTCGCCCACCTCATCCTATTCGCAATTTCAGGCTCAGCTGACTTCCTCGGTATGAATCACTACACTACATTTTTGGTTTACCCAGAGAGTGAGAAGAATGTTGGGGAACTTTGGTACATAGGAGATCTTGATGTCAGAATTACAAGGGGCGAAAAGTGGGAGGAGGCTATGAGTCCTTGGCTTAAGGTTCGTTATTACATATCTGGTTCTTTTCATCATCATTATCAATCCATATTATAAAAAATTAGAAACACCACTTCTTGCACTATTCGTTTATTAGTATTTTCAACGAAAAATTGACACCACAACTGAATATTTCACGAATATCATGCAGTTTTCATTACCTCCCCCTACCCTACTACGTGACTGATAGGACTAAACATTTGTACATTAAAACTACAACTAAATTTACTTATAGTAATAATGATAATATATAATTAACGTGATTTTATTTTTATTTTATTTTATTCAATGAAAAAAGTTTCAACAGCACACTTAAACTTATTTGACAAATGTGTTTAAGCAGTACAAAAGCCAATTACAGAAACTCACTATGTATACAAAATATGTGATATTATTATTACAACATTGGCTAGAAAAATAAATTTTAATTGGTACAATAAAAACTGAATTTATAAGTAACTGTAAATTTCTGATATCAATTGTCGTGTATAGGTTTGTGTAAGTATATGTGTGTGTATGTGTGTATATGTGATGCAGCGTGAGTGTCTAGTTCGCCTCCCCCTATTTCCTCAGAGAATGTGCTAGCCAGGTAAAACTAACAAAGAAAGAAACTGCTCGCATCTTTAGTGCTTGCAACTCGGCTTACATGGCGCACGAAATTGACGCAAATAAAACTGTTTAAGAAAGTAAAATGGTTCAATTATAATAATTGAGTTAAATTCAAAGAAATACATTTTTTAAATTAATTAATTTATTTATTTATACCTCTGATGTTTCCAAGCAAAGCAGTTTTAAATGTAGTTCTAGACATAGAAAACAGGTCAATGTCAGAAAAATACTTGTTGTATGTTTTAGGCAATTTCACAGTTATGTCGTCAGCCTTGTAGTTTGTCCGGACAAGCGGTACGTGAAAAAGCTGCGTATGACGTGACCTTTTCTTAAGAGCTTTTAAGCTGATTATCCTGTTAACTAATTCTGTACAATCTAATTTTCCTGAATATATATCGTACAAAACAGCCATATCTTGCATACGACGTCTATCGCTAAGTGTAGTGAGGCCATGTTTACTACACGACTTCCTGTAATCGCTTATGTTATTAGTTCGAAAATTTAAATATTTTATGAATTTTATTTGCAGGCGTTCAATAGCGTGTTCGTATCTAATATACTGTGGGTTCCATATAGTGCAGCAGTATTCAAGAATGCTTCGAACATATGCACAGTACAACACTTTTATACAGGAAGCATTCCTGAAATCCTTGGTCACTCTAAAAATGAACCCCAAATTGTTATATGCCTTGTTGGTTATGTTCTCAAAATGATTAGCGAAAGTTAGTTTTGAGTCCAAATAAACACCTAAATCCCACGACATCCACCTTGCTCAGAAATGTGTTATTCAATTTGAAATCGTATTCAATGCCTTTTTTGCGTCTTGTGAACTGTATATGCATACACTTTGCCGCGTTAACAGTAATTCTGTTAGTAACGTAATACTGCGAAAGCCGATTTAAATCATCTTGCAGTTTTAAGCAATCTTCTCGGGATTTGACCGTCATATAAATTTTTGTGTCATCAGCATAAAGTAAAAAAAGTGCATACTTAAAACAGGAGCTAATGTCACTAATAAAAGCTATGTAGAATAAAGGACCGAGTAGTGAGCCTTGTGGTACGCCGGAAGGTATACTGATGAAGTCAGAGCGATTTCCACCTATAACTACAGCTTGTTTCCTATTTGAAATATACGATTTAATCCATCTGTACAGGTCTCCACGTATTCCCAGCTGAAAAAGCTTCCGCAAAAGTATAATGTGATCTACGCGGTCGAAAGCTTTTTCGAAGTCCGTATAGACCTCATCAACCTGAGAATGAGTACCCATATACCGGTGCAAGTCACTCATATAAATGCCTAAATTTGAGACTGTTTATCGTCCTCCTACAAAACCATGCTGCTCATCAGGTATACTCTGTTTTAATATGGGATAAATACTTTTGTAAATGACCCTTTCTAAACATTTTGCAAAAACATTCATAATGGATATTGGTCGGTAATTCTCTATTCTGCATTTTGAATCCTTTTTGTGAATAGGAACAATGTGGGCTTCTTTCCACTTTGAGGGAAAAACTCCATTTGATATAGAACGGTTAAAAATGATACTCAAAGGAAAAGAGAGGGAGACACGGCGCAATTATTTATAAATTAAGGCGGGATCTGATCACTACCAGCAGACTTCCTAACATCCAGCGCAGAAAGCAGCCTAGAAATTTCATTTTGAGAGACCGATAAAGAATGTATTAAATCACGAGTACTAAGTGAAGGTTGCTCTTCGTTTTGGGTAACACTTTGCTGGTGGAATAAACGTTTTCTCGAAATAATGATTGAATGCGGAGCAATTAGTATCGCCGTCCACCAACTGCCTACCCTTGTATGTCATTAAACCTTGATAAGCTGTGTTCCACTTGCGTTTAGAGTTAATGTACGACCAAAGTAATTTAGGGTTAGATTTGATGTTATCCTGGCAACGTAATATATATTTTTGATAACATTTGCTTTGCTTAATCTTCATCCTTTTTCTCAATAAAGAAAAAGTATCGTACTTCAGTTGATTACCATAGCGCTTCCATCGACGATGCGCATTAACTTTTTCGTTTAATAAGCAAACAAGCGCACGATTGTACCATACTGGATATTCGTTCAACCGATTACTATCTTTAATAGGAACAAACTTATCAATGATGCCATATAAAACAGAGTAAAAGCTATCAATGGACTCGTCAATCGCACCAGATGAAAGCAATTCCACCCAATCAACATTGCTAAGTTCCATATTAATGCCATCATAGTTCGCCTTATGAAATAAGAATTTCTTCCTAGGACACTTTGACTAACGACTCACCAACAAATCACTCGCATCAACAATAAGAGTAGTGTGATGAACGTCCTCTTTTACAAGTGCGAAAGATGTCCACGTCTAAGTTGCTAAAGAAAAGATCTAATGTATTTCCTGTATTATTTGTGAATTTGTTACTTTGATGAAGTCCCAAGAAATTTACTTGATTTATTAAGTGTATTCCTGAATTTAGAAGATCGACGCTACCTTTTTTTAAGTGTCGGCCCCGACGGATTCCACGCTATATTAAATAAATTGAAATCGCCTGCAAATGTAAACAAATCATCTGTGAACTTACCAGCGACGTCGGTAATCAAGTGTACGCAGTCATTTATACGAGAGGGTAACAAGTGCCCCGGCGCCATGTAAGCCAATGCTATATGCAGATCTTGTTTTAAGCCTATTGTTTGGCCGTCCACGGTGACCCATGCGCATTCTATGTGATCGTGTTGCCATTCGATGCGAGCGCGCACGCTCAGTTTTCGGTTGCACATGATCATAACCCCACCTCCGTTCGATCCGCGATCGCGGCGGAATATCTCATATCTGTGATCTGATAGTTCGGAATCTAAAACACTGTCATTTAGCCAAGTCTCTCTTAAAAGAATAATGTCATGGTCCACGTTGAGCAAGTTATTGTAGAATTCTAATGTTTTAGTTCGAAGACCACGAACATTTTGATAGAAAATATTTAGTTTATGACCGATGTCTTTATGAAATCTGTGCCTTTAAGCAATATAGATACGCTTGGGAATAAATTGTTATGATTTATGTTTACATCTGAAAAACGACAACGTTAAAGTAAGATATGCGAGTTTCATTTTTAAATGCTCTGGGATAAAACAGTGGCATTATGTTTAACAAAAGGTGAAAATAATATAAATGGGTTAATTCGGAGGAGGTTGTGTTTATGTGTAGTGTAAAGTGTAAATATGTGTATGTATGATTATGATGTAAGTATGAAACGTGTAACAAAAACGAAGTTAAACTATAACAATTTGAACAAGTGATTCCATTACTATTACTATGACAACTTATTAGGGCAGAATACATAATTAAATTATCTTTTTTAGATCTTCTTCGCAGGATATTAGAATATACGGTGAATTTTCGGCTTTTCGTGCATAAATCAGCAGTTTTTTGTCCACACAACTTTATAATTACAGTCTTTAGCTTTCGCTTTACAACTATTTAGTAATTGCTTATTTTTTACAGTTAAATGTTCATTAATGTAAATAGTTTTGAGCTCACCTTTCATTCCAATATCCCTCGAAGTGATGCCACCAGAATTACGAGCAGTTGACAACAATGCGTCCTTTTTGATACGATTTTGGAAGCGTACTATTATAATACGCGACTTTCCCTTAACTTGTCTCTTATCAAGCTAAGACGAACGGAATCCAAGTCCTGAGAGCCTAGTGGCACGCCTAAATGTTTAGCGATATTATTTAGTGATATATAATTAATGAACAATAATCATCAGGCTGTATAATTAACTTCCTAAACGGTAATATTTAACATCACATGGCTACTAAAGTCCTATATCATGACTTGTTCAAATCAACAACTGTACGCATTATCTATCTTCAATATTATGTTTATTACAAATACATTATATGAGTATGATTAAAATTATAAAATTCTTACAATTGCTGGGCACAAAGGAGAACCTCTAAAGTGAAGATTTAGCATTAAGCACGCCTTAAACCAGGATTTTTTAACCTATGTTACATGGTCTACTAAGAGGTCCGTGTTATGAACACCGGGGGTTCCGGGCGAGCCTACCTAATATTATGTATTAATATAAAAATTGGTATACAATATGTTGTGAGTAAGTAGGTACTGTGCACGTGACCTTTATAAAATTGATATACTTTTAGTGGTAAGTAAATAGGTACTGTGCACGTGACCTTTTTGAATTTTCGCGCCCTTTGACGGCCATCCATTATTAGAGCGAGCGAAACGCCCGTACCTTCGACATCAAAGCAACTCCCGAGCCTTTCCTTTTTATTTTATTTATTAAACTTTATTGTTTTTTATTTATTAACTATCAGGCGCACTTGTTCGTCCCGTCACTTGATATTATAACAAAAATATTATTTTACTCTATTCTTTTCCAATCGTTTCTTTGAGTAGGTAGGCTATAGTTTGCGTCACAGACAAACGCCGCTCTTCTTCTGAATTAATCCCTTAATCACTGACAACGACATTCACGACTTGTAGACCATTGATATTATTTTTTTATTTTTTATTTTTAGTCGGCCCCCTACGGACTCTACAAAGCGTGTCTCTACTTAAATAAACACTATGACTACCCACAAATTATAATAACGGAACACGGTTGGTCAACTGACACCGGTTTGAATGACACAGGCAGGATTACCGTCATGAAGGAGTATTTTAAAGCGTTGCTATTGGCTATTGAAGACGGCACGGAGGTGAAAGGATATTCTTATTGGAGCTTGATGGATAACCTCGAATGGATTTCCGGTATTATGTAAGTTTTGAATTTTTTAATTCCGTAGCAAAGTAGGACTCAAGAGTTCGTTCAGGTAAGTACTGCCATCTTATTTAATACTGCCGCCAAGCATAATTCTAGAAGCGCATCGGTTGCTGTCTTTTCTCTTTCACACAGACTCTGCATAAAGTTGATACTACCAATAGGTTGAGTTACTTGTTAAATACGCCAAGTTCTCCTTTGATGCCAGTACGTAATGCTAATTGGCTTACGTTTAGTCGTATTAAGGACGTGGTTGGGTTATTGTTTTTTTCAGTAGCAATAGAGCTCCTTGCGACAGAGTTCGTCCAAGTACTGCCACCTTACCTATTTCTGCCGCTAAGCAATAATGTGAACATTACCGTGTTTTGGTTTTGAGGATAAGGGTGCTAGTGAATTTACAGGCACATGGGACTTGTCAACTTACTCTCAGGGTGACGGGTGCAGTGGCAGTGCACCTCAGACCTTTGCGATTTAAAATTCTTAAGTGGCACGGCATCTGCCGTTCTTGACAGTCTTCTTCACAAAGTATAATAAAGTTTCGGTTAATATTCAAAATTGAAGCATTGGGAACAACAAGAGCGTTCGGCACCAAAACACGTTTTGATGTTATTGCATCAAATCATGTAAAACACTATTTTGTAACAAAAACTCATTTCGATCTCCCTTCTAGATGGCGTAATTTTTATTCATTTAGATTAGAAGGTGGCGCGCCGCCCTTGTGGCATAGATTATTTGCTTTTGAATTTCGGATACGTAACCACCTGCAGTTTGTAAAAACTTATTTTAATGTAAAAAAATCTCTGAAACGAGCAAATTCGTCCTCAACATGTTGCGTTTAGGAGGCCAGTGAGACCTGCTGAAGATTAAAAAACGTTTAAATTTTTTTCAATGTGCAATTTATTTTCTTAAAAACCTATAATAAAACGAACGCCCTATTAATTTACCGGTTTGGTGCAACATAAGCGGATAATACAAGGTAAAAAAATATATTTTCAAATATTTCTAAATGTTTTAAATTTAAAATAATAATAACACCTGAATCTTTTAGCTAAATCATAGGACAAATAAATAACAAAGTATATAAGAGTCATATTAAAAATATATAAGACATAAAACTTTATTTTCTATTTTCTCGAGTGTAACTTTTACGTGATGCGGCCTTGTTACACCCAATGCTTCAATTTGCCATTCACGGGATTTAAAACTATAGTGAAACAAAAACTTTTCACTTTACAAAGTTGTCGTTTATGCTTATAAACCCTCGGTATAAATATAGATAAATAAGAGTAAGTTTTATTATTCATATATTATTTAATCTGTCTTTTAGGGAACGTTTCGGCCTATACGAAGTGGATTTCCACTCGGAAAACAAAACACGCACAGCACGAAAATCGGCCCTCTTCTACAAACACACAATTGAGAAAAAAATTATTGATGAAAGCTGGGACATTGATGACAAGGACTTCAAGATAGAAATATCGGATAGACGAATGAAGAAGAAGAAAGATGAGCTGTAATGAAACTTGAACCATAAGAACATTAACCCAAATTACTACATATGCTTTTAAAGTGACAAACGTATGGTTGAGATGGGGATAAAAATAAAACTCACGGTTGCATGACCACAACTAATTTATATTTCATACCTTTGGTATAATAAAGCGGTTCGTTCTCACTAGTTCTATTGAGTAGTTCTATTATAGAACTACTGGGACGAGAAAGTCCCAGCAGTTCTATTCAATTATATTTCATGAATAACAGAACTAGTGGGGAAAAACATTCCAAGTAGTTACTAGTTGGTTTAGTTGTATTTTTATCCCGAAAATGGTAGTTGAAATCTTACTTCTATTTTTTTTTTGGATACTTTTTGTGTGAATGTTCGGGATATTATCGCGTAACGTACATACAAAAAAATTACAGTTGAATTGAGAACCTTCTCCTTTTTTTGAAGTCGGTTAATAATCATTTGAAAAGAAGTTACCTGATTTTATTTATTATTTTCGGGATACACATATAACTTAGCCAATGTAACTACTAAGAATTATTTTTTGACACTAGTTCTAATATTCTTCAAATATAATTTAATAGAACTGTTCAATAAAACTAGTGCGAACGAACTTAATAAAGCCACATGTGATCATACGTCAAAAGTGTTTTTATCACATGAAACTCGTAAAAATAGACGAAATACACGAAACAAATTATAAACATATATGTGAAAATAACTCCTCTATTAAAGCATAAAAAAGTTGTGCACCATTTCAATCGTAGAATTTTTAAACTACTCTTCTCAAAAGTTGCCGTTTTGCAGTTGTGGCCTTATTACACCTAGGCTGCTATTTCCATTGTGTCAAATATAAAATGTACAAGGCATTGTCTATGTACAGAATTATTATATTTCTCTGCATGAATTATAAATGATAATGAATCATTTGACAGAGGGGGAAAGGACTCGCCGATGCCTCTTCATTTTTAGTTTAGGTTTAATGTTCTAAGTCTAATGCGTTACTTTCCAATAAAACAATATCTCTATTTAAAGTACTATACAGTCATCAAAAAAGTTTGTGAACACCAGATGCCACCTTCCGTAACATTTCTGGTACAGTCGACGCTTAGACGATCTTTTGGTTCTGATAGCCTTCTTACGCATTCAACAGAAGAGTGTAAAGGAATTCCAGCTTTTCGGTTGAAATTTATATGTATGTAATGTAATTAAAAAATCAAATTGGCTTAAAACGTTTGTTGAGACGTCGTTCAGTAATGATGCAATGAGGAAGTCACACCAAAAGGAATTTTACGGTTTACCGGTTAAAGGTTAACATTGTTTTTGCACCATTCTTCACGCTGATCTATTCAGAAAAAGTAGACATTTAGGGAATCAGGTATCTTAGGATATCGACTGTACCATTACTTTATCGTTCTTCTAATATGGACTCATCGATTGTCAATGTGGCGATAATGTACAGCCATTTGTTTTCTTCTCCAGTTTTTACCGGCAGTGATCGTAAACCTTTATGTGTTATCACAAAACATGTATAATTCCTAATGAGTTAATAAACACTTATATATTTATACATATTCGTATACAGGTTGGTATAAAAAGGTCTGACAATATTTCATCTATGGTCATCGTAATTATAGTAACAAAAGAACTACATAGGAAATGAAACTATTTTTCCGGATTCAAATCGCGTATATTTGTTTTTTCAAACAAACCGACGTTTCTGGCCCTTTACAGGTCCCATGGTCACGTTCATGGTAACTGAGGTGGTACTGTCTTCAAACAGTTATGTCTAATATTAATGCAAACCACCCTATTTTTTCACTATAATTACAATAGTTATTAATTAAACACCTTATTTTTAATTTTACAAAGAAAACATTCCAATTTACGCTACATTAAGTTTTACAAATTATTTTATTGAATGAATTTTTATTAAGTTTAATTAATTATTTATAGAAATTAGAATAAACTAAAACATATTAGTTAGTACTGCAGTCTTATGTCTGTTTGGGATTTTTCATTAGAGGAAATCCGGAAAAATAGTTTTATTTCCTATGTGTAACAATCGCGAAAACCTAAGAACTCGAAAATAACTACATTTTTTTTTGTATTTGATGAGGCGTGTGAACCCTCCAAATTGCGTGGGTTACATCATTTGCTCATAGAGTGTGTGCGATGGGCGATAGTTAGTAAAAATTACTGAATTATTCGATTGTTGACATCAATTAGTTACTAATTAGATTAAATAATGTAATTGTTTATCAAATATCGATTGTAAATCGAAATACTAATCTACTAGTTACTTATTTTTGGTTGTTGATTAAATATCGTAATAGTAGTAGGATTGATTGTTAATAAATTAGTAATTGGATTGATTCTTATCAAATTAGTAACAGGATCGATTGGTGCTAAATAAGTAATAAGATCGTTTTTATACATTCCGTACCATAGTATAGAGGAGCTTTTTTTTAGACATCGCAAATTTAATTAGATGTATTAATAAAATTACTAACTATATTCCTTTATTTTGCGTAAAGACGACTAAATCGATATAGGATATAGGATAGTGCAACTATCGATATATTCGATTTTTTTAGTAACAATCGCTCATCGCTAGTTCGGGGTAAGTAGGTAAAGGAGTAAGCGGGGCGGTTAGGGGTGCGGTTGTTTGCACAGATTGGTTTTGGTACATTTAGTGTCGGGTGGATTCGATCAGTTTTGTCTGAACCAAAATCTGTAAGTAACATGGTAACGCCGCGAAAATTTTGTATATGTGTTTATTTGTTTGTATGTGTTAGAAAACATTTTAATTTATCTGTTTCAGTTCTGTTTCTGTGGCCGACATATTCAAAGTCCTTAAATAAATAAAGAATTAAAATTAATAAATAAACAACTTCAACAAACTGATAAATGTAAATTAGCACACATTTCTCGATTGATCACACTTGATTTTGGCCAATTATTTTTATCGATTTTTTTTTTGTTTGCGATATTTTTAAATTATCGTAATTACGACCATCACATAGAAATATGTCAAATCTTTTTGTTAAACTTATACATTTTTATCCAAATAACCTGTTGTGTCTGTGTATCACAACTGACGACTGCATTCAAACTGCCATTTTGCTGTTGCGATGCCGTCAAAATACATTTAACAAATACATTTTTCCATATCAAAACATTCACCAAAATGTTACAGGGTTGTTAAATTTTAAATATTTTTAAATATTGCATTAGGTAGCTTGTAATTGTTAAAGGGTATTATTTTGTAAACAGGGTGTGGTATGTGTCATTTTTAATAATAATTATGGATTTAAATTATTTAACGTGTGTTGTGTGTGTGGCCAGTGGCCATTGTGATAGCTTTTGTGACTTTTGTATTTTTATACATTTTATACAATAGTTTTTATACGTTCCATATTTTATTTATAAATACGTATGTTTTTGTATTTTAAAAGGTTGCAATAAAAAAGACGTTTATTTCAAATGCGTTTTACTCAAATAAGTATCCTTGAGCGCTCCGATTATGTCGTAACTTTTTATTTACCGTGGACGACTATCGCGTTTAGCCTGTTCTCACATCACGAATGTCTGTCATGACTGTATCGTAGACGTTTATTTTATCGCTGAACGACCGTCGTCGTCTAGCTATTCCCAGTAGATCGTGACGACAATTTATCGGTTCACGGCAGCCGCCTTGTCGTTTATACGACAGAACGTTTGAAATTGCGATTATCTGTCGTCACATTTTTATCGTGACGTTTTATTTATCGTCTGACGACTGTCGTTCTAGCTCGTCCCATATACAAGCCACTTGAAGGTTCGAAAATTTTTTAACATTTTAAACACCAACTGTACCTACCGGCGCCCTGAAGACTGGTGTTTGTTTCAAAACACCTTTCAAGTGGCCGAACAGCTATCGAAGATAAAACTCCAAGCCAAGTTTGCTCATTTTTTAAATTGTTGCAAATATAAATTTTTATTACCACGCCATCTGTGAACAGAGAGAGGAACTATAGCGTCAGCTACTAACGACGCTTACGAATGTCAAAGGTTTACCCTATCAGAGATGACGCTACTGGTCTTTTTACTAAATATATCCAACGAACTAAAAATTGTACTGTTCTAAATTTTTACTTACTCTACTACATCTTTAACAAATTTATTCATTGCAACAATTTATTAGAGTTAATATCCATATATGTACATGCCTCAATTATTATACGAAAAATATGAATAAACCGTTTTTAATAGTTTCTTTCCAAAGTCGCGGCAACATTATTTTTTTATTCCTGTTCATTCATGACTATAGTTATTGTCACTCCATAGTCCGTATATTAACTAGGAAAACAAAATTTGTTAACAGATTGTCGTAATAATCTTAGAAAAATAACGCATAGAATGATAGTTTCATATCAAACGAACTGTCACAAGTGAGGTAAAAATAAAATTCATGTAGGCTAGTTTTAGTAGTAGGTTAATTTTCGGTTTTAGTGAATATTTATATAAAAATACAAGTTGAAACGCGTTACTTCCTTGTGGAATGTAATGTTAGTATCTATTTTATGTCTGTCTGACGTATTTTTACACTCATTTACCGCACATTTCGTCATTTTTAGCTAAAATTCTTGAGCTGTTCGCGGTGCAAGTTCACCTTGAGCACTGAAGGCCCGCCCGCTCGTATAGGCCTATTGGGCGCGCTGCAATTTGCCTCACTTAGCGTGTGCGGACTAGGTTTCTTTGCGTTATTATTCTAAGGTAATAATGATGCCACAAAGATGTTGGTGTCGTAGATTTGTTGACACCAGTCTGCTACAAGGCTGACGGATCGACCAACGGTGTGTAAGTATTCTGTTTAATTTTATGTCCACTTCGATGACCTGCGCCCTTTTATTTGGGGAAATACCGAAGACACAAAGAGTGTTTGTTGTCGTCGAATAATGTTAATTTACAAATTGTCCTAGGGTCTCTCTAAGAGATAAGTGTAATTAAATTTCATATTCTTGTTCTGGCGTCATATTGCAAATTTATGAAAATGTAATTTTCTCAAACATGCTCGGAAATGTTTGCATTACTTTCAAAAAACGAAAACGGAAAGTTTGTCATTTATGGACCATGCGACTTCTTCCCTGCAAAGTAAGTATGATAATCTAACTTCT